TGAAGAGGGAGAGGTGCCCAGCTTTAGCTCAGCTATTTAAGCCATCATGGACCCATCAGACGAGTCTGGTAGCCAGCTGAATCCCACCAAGCTATCCCAGAGACAAAAGCTCATAGATTTAAAAAAATCACATTAGTCGAGCCTTGACTCAATTCCTGACACACAACATCATGAGATATAATAAAATGATTGTTATTGTAACACTAAATTTTGGGGTGATTAGTTGCATGGCAATTAAAAAAACAGACAAGTTACTGAAAGTATAAAAATAGTGAACCTAATTTGAGATGAATTACCCAAACATTGATGATTTGTTTATAAAGAAAAAATTAAAGTATTACTAAATCAAATACAGCTAATTTTAACCCACTAAAACATACCTTCCAAATTTCCTTCTGGTTTCAATGACATCTGTGGAGATCCCTCACTCAGCTTTGGACTGCTTGTCTCAGCAGAAGAATCGAGAGTAGCTGATAGGTTCATTTCAAGTGAAATACATTTTACTTTTTCTTCTCCAGTGATTAAGGGTTTGTACTTCTCCCCTTCAGAAGAAATATCTGAAATAACAAAAATGAGAAATCATGCTGTTTTTAAAGTGACTTGAATTTTACCTATAATGGAATTTAAAGAAAAGTACAAAAACTGTATTCTTACAACAGGTAATTAATTATTGGTTAAGCTGTTACGCATCAGAAATTAATAAACAACTAAAGTATATACTACCAAATTTCATTTTAATTACACATAATAATTTCTAAGGTGTTTAACATATGGTTTACTTTCTTTTTTCCTTTTGGTGAAATGGTATTTTTTAAATTATTAACTAATTGTTTTTGTTTGTTTCTAGTAATTGCTAGTTACTTGTAATTGCTCAGAAACATTCCATACTTTTAAATGATGCCAGGAAGAATGGATTTGCCTCAAAACAACTTACTACAGTTATCTACAAGACCCCAAAAGGTCATGTAAAATGACAAAAGAGACACCGATGTAAGGATTGGAAGACTAAAGAACATCACAGGTCCCTTATATTTGTCATTTAATCCACAAAACAATCCTTGATAATAGTGTTTCCATTCTACAAATGGAGAAACTGAATGTCCGTCAGAGGAACTTGTCCATGGTTTCTGGGCACGTTATGGAACCAGAAGTGGAACCAAAGCCCATTCTTTTTTCACAACATGTAGCTGCTCCCACATACACACTAAGTAACCTTTGTGTATTTGCATGTGTAGAATTGCATATTGCTTGGAATTTCATTCTCTCCCTTTTCTACCCAATGAGCTGTTTTATCTTTGGCAAGCTCAAAACCACTTGCTCTGTGCAGCTTGTCCTGATCCAAAAGGGCCACATTGTCATTAATGAAACTGTACAGCACTGATAACACAAAGCCTCCTCAACTGTGGCTCCACAGCATTTCACACACACTTCTAACATAGACTTTGCCAACATGTGATATCCTTGATGTTAAGAACTGTGACTTCTTTGTCTTAAAATCCCAGCACAAGGTATATTCTTCTAAGTAAATGGAATTAGGAAAAAAATTAAAAAGAGTGCAGGTGACAACTCTGGAAAATATTTAACTCCAAAATAAACTACTTAAACATCTCTGCACTGCCTTTTAACTTTGTGTATACTTTCATTCTTGCTCTTTTCATGCAATATTATCACTTATTTGTTTTCATTTGTCTGTTTTCTGAGAGCTAGGATGATCTTTAACTCTTTGCAGTTTTACCACCTAACAGATAACTCATAACATATGAGTATTCAATAAACAGTTGGCAAACTGAATTTAAAAAAAAGAAAAATCAGGAAATAATTAAATTACTTCTCAGTTCCAATTCTATGGAGAAGAAAAGCTCTGCTTTCACATTATCATATGCCAATGACATATATTTAAGCAATAAAAATTTTATGTAAGAGAAATCGGAATCTGATATTTTTAAAGTCATGGGAATAAACATATGTAGGACTTTCAGACTACAAAATAATCTGAAATTTTTATCCATTATTGTTGAAAATATTTTAGCCTAGAGGCATTTTTTTTTTTTTTTCTGAATAAAACCTGGGGCATGCTGAGAATAGGCTCAGATTGAGATAATAAGAACATTGTTACTTTTTAAAATTAGTATGTGGCATACAACTGCACAATTTTCTAGACATAACAGTGTGAACATATTAATTACAAATATCACGCTTTGTGTACTTGTCCTTTTTTCAAATAAATGATCATATATATTTCTTTATTCAAATTGTTTTTCCCCTTCAGTATTAAAGAAAATGCAACAATGATTAATGGGTGGGGTATTCACCCATATGAGGAAACAACAACCTACTTTTGCCACTTTAGTAACATGCATATAGGTCCATTTCACTGGCTGTTTATCAGCAACTCTCTAATTCCTTCATACATAATGTGAACAGCCTCATCCACTATGTTATTTTTCTGTGAGTTTTGGATATGAGTTTCACTCTAAGCTTCAAGGAGAGATAGAGAATGTATGCAAAAATGACATATATACATATTCATGCCTAGACACAAGGTAGAAAATACTATATTCAACTTCCTCTTCATCTGAATAAGCTCTTAAATCTGAAAACACCTGTTTTATACACAGACACTCTTCTTTATGCATAGCTGTAATACCAAGACCCACAACACTCATGGGTCATAAATGTCTTCCTCACAAGAACTCATCCTTCCCAGTTCTGGGATAATGTCTGTGATACCTAACTACAGAAATCTTTTAGTCTTTTAATCAGCCTAATTACTGAATCCACATTAAAACATACACCACTCATCTCAATGCAATGCTCGTATATCCTTCTTTATGTAAAAACATCGTTCTGACTATTCTACTTTTCCAGTTCCCCCACATAAATTTCCTTTTCCTTTTATTCTTAGATCCCATGCAGGTTATATCAGATCAAAACTCAAGACTACCATTTGAGACAATTCCCCAGAAAATAAAACCATTTACCATATCACTGGGAAATTATTGTAAATAAGTTCCTTAAAATAGACATTTCTTAAAAATATAATTTAATTTTTAATATAATATTACTTCTAGTATAGAAAAACAATTAGTTTTTCCTTACCACTTCTAATGGTTGTGTTTCCCAATAGTTCTGTCTGAAGTTGTAGTTCAGCTTCTCCAAGTATTTTTAGAACAGAATCTGTAGGGCTTTTCCCCCAGACTCTTCTTGGAGATCCTCCAGAATCTAATTTAATAACATCTCCCACTGTATGGTCTATAAGAAAAAGATACAAAAAATAATTTTCAATGACATAACAATAATACCACATTATGAGGCAGACTTAAGGTCTTCTATTCAATTGAGTGCTTCATGAGAAAATAAAAGGTTATATTGCAAAGAGCATATGATGATGATGAGTCTTTAAAAAAGACTTTCAGGGGTGAATAATAAAAAACAGAACAGAAGCAACTAATACTAGTAATAAAAATATATAATTGCCTTTCTAAATACTTGGAATTAAACTCTAGTTTTAGGGAATATAAAAATAAAAAAATATAAATTATGTTTCTATAAAATTTTTATTTGAGAAAAAGAAAAAAAAATGGAAACCTAAGATAATTGAGCAATAATTTGGGGGAGTACAAAAAAAAAGAAGATAAACTATAAATTAATATTTTTCTATAAATTTAAATGCAGAGAAAACAATCCTAAAGTAAATGAACTTGTGAATTAAAGTAGAGAAAAGCATTTTTTTACTACACTATACTTTTTATTGTCATTTTAGAGTATACTTATTCCACTTATTAAAAAAAAGTTTGCTATAAAACAGCATGCTGCATTACACTGGCAGCAGTCTCATACATCTTGTGTTTCCTACATCTCTTGATTACATCAGGAGAAAAGTATTTTTAAGAAATTTTGTTTTATTTTATCTTCTATATCTTAAGTAGGCAACTGACTCTTGTGATAGTAATAATTTTGGGTAAACTTTTAGAATGAAATTTAGGAAAGCAAAAACTAGAAAATTATCTATTAAACTATGAGTCTTTAGAATGTGTGTTAGTAATACATTTAGCACATAAGTACCGAGCAATAATAGACAGGCTATAACTTCAAATATCATGGGGTATAAATCATATAAACTTTCAGTGGTAACCAAATACTGATACAAATTTTTGTGTATCAGTTCCATGAAAGTAAGTAACTGCAATTTAGCAGGTAATATTCAGTCTGTACAGACAAAATGATCATCAGTGGTGAACTAGTTTTTTAAAAGACGGTTAAAAAGAGGAAAGAACCCAGAAATAGACCTATAATTTACAGCTACTTGGTGTCTGTCGAAGCTGCCAAAACGATCCAAAGTGGGGAGGGGGGATGCGTCTCTTATCTCTTTAACAAACAGAACTATAAAACTGAATGTCCATATGAAAATATGTAGACTTCATCCCCTTCGATGCAGGGAGGGGAAAGCAGATGGACTGGTCTCTGAGCAGAGGTGCCAGAACTGAAAGTCTAGGTACGCAAAAGTGGCTACTGCTGGCAGGACAGAGTACTTAAGAGTAGAAAACTACTCAAAGAGAGAACTCAGAGAACTGTAAAGAGCTGCTTCAAGTCTTAAGCTGAATACTGATCAGCACATGTATGAGGAAATTACTATAGTCCCCAAATAAAAAACAAACAAACAAACAAACAAACAAAAACACCCAAAAGGAATAGAGAGAGCAATACTCGGAATTTACACAGGGTCAGAAATAGTCCCTATTCCCACAGCCAGAAAAGAAAGTCTTATAATTCACAAGGCATCAAGTAGATTACTCAGAAAGGTTTTTGACTCAGTAAAGTGGAAAAATTTAGCCACAGACTATACATTGTTCTGGTTCCACATAACATAGTTTAAAAGCAAGACTTAAAAGGGTCAAGCTATTTTATAAGTGAACTATGTCTGAGAACAAAGATCAAAATATTTATAGAAACACAAAAATATATAATATAGCACTCGTCAAAATAAAATTCACCATTTGGCCTCTAAACAAAGTTACCAAGCATGTGTAGAAGCAGGAGAATTCAACTTATAATAAAGAGAAAAAAAATCAACCAATCAAAACCAACCCAAAAATGAGAGAGAGAATGTAATTAGTAGATAGGGACATTTATAATTGCCATTATAACTGAATTTTATATGTTCAACAAGTCATAGACAGATTGGTAATGATAATTAGAGATAAGGAAAACATTAACAAGATCCATATTGAACTTCTAGAAGGGCCAACAGAAAAAAGCTGGAAAAAATAATGGCAAACGATTTTCTAAATTTAATAAAAACTATATACTTACAAATCCAAGAAGCTCAACAAAATCCAAGCAAAATAAATATGAAGAAAATGACACAAAGTTACATCATTATCAAATTTCCTAAAACCAAGGCCTAGGGGAAAAATCTAAAGAACACAGAGAAGAAATAAGACACATTATATACAGAGGAATAAAGAATAAGAATGACAGAAGACTCTCATCACAAGAAATGTAAACTAGAAGACACTGGAGTAACATCACTAAATACTAAAAAAATTGTCAACTTAGAATTCTACACCCAGAAAAAATATCTCCGTAAAAGAAAGGCAAATAAACACTTTTATGAACAAACAAACAAACAAACAAAGCTGAAAGAATTCATCACCAGCACGACTGTATTATAAGAAATGTTAAGGAAGTCCTTTAGGGAGAAGATAAATAATACCAAATGGAAGTCTGATTTACACAAAAGAATGAAGACCACTGGAAACAGTAACTACATGGGTAGATAAAAAAAACTGTTTATTATTTAAAACTCTTTATTGTAAAGTTTATAGCATAAATTTTTAAAAATCACAATGACTGAGAGGGAACATATCTAAGTATATGGTCATAAGGTTCTTACACTATATGCGGAAAGCAACAAATCATGTTAAGACAGACTGTAATAAGTTAAAGATGTATGTAACAGAACAATGAGCTAGTTAAAAACCCAATAAGAGATAAAATGGAATCATAAAAAATAATCCAAAAGAAAGCAAAACAGGAGGGCAAAAGAAACAAAAAATAGAACAAACACAAACAGCTAAATGACATATTTAAATAAAACCATATTAATAACCACATTAAATGCAAATGGTTTAAACATACCAAGTTGAAGTTATAAGAGCAAATCCAACACTATGCTGCCTACAAGAAACCTACCTAGACGTAAAGATACAAATAGATTAACAGGGGGAAAAAAAAGATAAAGATATACCAGACTAACACTAAGCAAAATAGGTAGAAGTGACTATTAATATCAAAGTAAATTTTAAGTATTTTTTTTAAAGGAACAAACTATTGATAACCACAACACACACGAATCTCAAGAAACATATGCTGAGCTAAAGAGGCCAGACATAAGAGGATATAAAATGTTAGAGTCTGTTTAAATAATAATCTGGACAGAGAAACTTAATCTAAGAAAAAATTCAGAAAAAGCTGCCTCTGGGAGGCTAGCAACAGAGAATGATGGGAAGAGGCATGAAATTTTGGGGTGGGGGGGTGATGGTAATGGTCTAATATCTTGATAGGGATTTAGATTACGTAGGTACAGGCATTAGCTAAAACACAGCAAATGTACATTTAAGATTTCTGTACTTAAACAAATTTCTAAACAAGTATTGAACTCTGTTTAAAGATACGTATGCTGCAAAGTATTTAATGGAGAGTGTACCGATGTCTGCAATGAACTTTAACTGCATTAAAAAATAAGATAGACTAATTGATGGACAGAAGGAATAATAGATATGTGATCAAACATAGTAAAATGTTAATGGGAGAATATGAATGGAGGGCATACAGTGTTCATTGTGAAATTATTTCAATTTTGCCATGTTTGAAATTTTTCATAATACTATTGGGAAATGTAAATCATGTATAATCACACGAAGGAATATTACACAACTATAAAAAAGAACAAGGGAGTTTTTTAATGTAGTGAGATGAAAAGACCTAGAAGACATAAGTAAAACAAATAAATAATAAATAATGTACAATATAACAAATAATGTAAAATAGAGGGAGTAATAACACATATCTTTATTCATATATATGTACATACACATACACGCACCCACACACGTAAATGAATTCTGGAAGGATACACAAACTAACAGGAAAGGAAATGGTTTAAGTGTTAAGGTAAGAGAGAAACTTCAACTATACACTGTTTACACTGTGATTTTTTAATCACATGAATACTGCCTACTTAATAAACATTATTTTTGAATTCATGAGCTAAAACATTATTTGTTTAACAGTATTCTCAGTCTCATGCTAACTTTCCATATGAAAGTGCTTTTCATAAGGTAATGAGATATCTGATAGATCGTGTATTTGTCTCATATAGTTCTATATGATCATTCAAAATTACCTAATTCCCAACAATTGACAAAGTGAAAAACAACTACAAAACTGACCAAATTATTTGCAAACCATATATCTGATGAGGGGTTAATGCACAAAATATATAAAGAACTCATACAACTCAATGACAAAAAGACAAATAATCTAACTAAAAAACAAGCAAAGAACCTGAATAGATACTCTGTCCAAAGATATACAAATGGTCAACAGGTACATAAAAAAGGTGTTCAGCACCACTAATTATTAGGGAATTGCAAATCAAAACCACAATGAGATATCACTTTATACCTGTTAGAATAGCGATCATCAAAAAGACAAGAGATAACATGCTGGTGAGGATGTGGAGAACAGGGAACCTTGTACACTGCTGATGGTGTGATAAACTGGTACTGCCACTATGAGAAACAGTATGGGGATCCCTCAAAAAGTTAAAAATAGAACCACCATATAATCCAGTAATTCTACTTCTGAGAATATATGCAAGGGAAATGAAAACAAGATATAGAAAAGATATCTATATTATCATGTTCATAGCAGCATTATTTGTAATAGCCAAGATATAAAACCAACCTAAGTGTCCATTTATGGATTAAATGGATAAAGATATTGTGGTACATATATAAATGGAATATTATTCAGCCACAAAAAGGATATCCTGCCATATGTAACAATGTGCATGGACCCTGAGGGCATTATTCTAAGTAAAATAAGTCAGACAGAGAAAGACAAAGATTATATGATTTCACTTACATATGGAATCTTAAAAACAAAACTCATAGAAAAAAAGATCAGATTCATGGTTACCAAAAGCAGAGGATGGGGGAAGGGGATCTGGAGAAAGTTGGTCAAAGGCACAAACATAAGTAAGTCCTAGAGATGTAACGTACAGCATGATTATTATAGTTAACAGGCTGTATGATACATAAGAAAGAGAGGAAATGCTAAGATTTTTCATCACAAGGAAAAAAATTTTTTCTCTTTATTGTATCTGTATGAGAGGATGGATACTAACAAAAATTATTACAGTAATCATTTTAAAATATATGTAAATCAAACCATTATGCTATACACCTTAAGTTTGAACAGTAATGTATGTCAATTATATCTCAATAAAATTGGGGAAAAAAGATTACCCAATTCTTGTGTTTTTGTTCTGCATATGACCTTTCTTCCTATTTTTAAAGAAAATATGGCAGAGATTTTTTCATCTATAAAACTTACTTATATCTCTCTACCTTTGCCTCTATCCCCGTCACACTGGCTCTAAATTATCTTCAACCCCACCAACTAAAAGATCTCACAACATCAGGTGTGTTTGTCCTCATATTTAACTATTTAATGACCACTTTATATGAATAAAATCAGTGCTACATGATATGGAACATACCACATGCAGTACAAGTCAAATGAATTTATTTAAAAAGATTATATTATAAAATACACAGACAAAAGATACTTAAATGAAGAAAATAATTACAGCAGGTGATTAGTTCTTTAAAAATAATAATAGAAGAGGTTTACTTCTAACAGTACAGAAAAGTGAAGAAAGAGTTTCAAGAAAAAGGAGGTAGTGAGTGTGGATAAAATTGCTATCGATACATAAAATAAGGATAGCTAAAATAACTAGCCTTTAAATTTACCAACATGACGGTCTTTGTTAAACCTGAAAAGAATAGTCTTCATGAAGTAGTGGGGAATAAAAGCTTGACTGAAGTAGTTTCAGGGAGAATGAAAGGGAAGGATCTGGAGTTGTAAACAGATGATACTCTGAAGAGTTCTGCTAGAAAGAGGACTTCAAAAATGGGGTAAAAGTTAAAGAATAGGGACAGAAAAGAAAAGAAAAAAGCAGCCATGCAAAGGACTTAGAAAAGAGGGAAGGGGAAGTGCATTGTGAAAAAGAAAGCACTTGGCATGTTTCAAGAAGTGAGAAGTGAGTAGTTGGAAATAAATGAATAGTGTCAATACACAAGGGAAAACCAGTGGAGAACCTCACAGACCATGAAAAGGACTTTGGATTTTTATTTAAATGATAGAGTGACATAATATATTTTGTCCTTCTAATTAGTATAAAATATTTTCAAGTCTCTTTTTTATAAGGTTACATTGACTCTACAGCACTACCAAGAAGCATCCTACATCTCTCTTCCCCTTTAAAGCTCAGCTTCCTTATAAGGTTCTAAACTCTTTTTTTTACTTCTCACTTTCCATTCACTTAATTCCTGGATTCTGTATCTGCCCCTAGCACTCTAATGAAACTGCTTTTATCAAGGACACAATGTCCCTTTCTGGACAAAACTAGTGTAAATTTTTTAGCCCTCAACTTGTCATTTCTCTTCCTGAAGTATTCTCATCTTCCTTTTAAATCCACGCTACACTCAGTTTTCCTAACTCTGATTGTTCCTTATTTTCTTCTCAAAGTTCTTCCTTTGACAAACTCTTACAAGCCTTTCACGTAAAGCCCTTATAGGTCTGTCCCATACTATATCTTAAATATGTCCTCTTCTCTTTATTACTTTTTAATAACTTCGTTAAGGTCATCACAGTAATTTTTGTCTAGATTAGTACAAGAGCCTCTAAAAACTGCTCGCAAGGACTTCCTAATTATGAATAAGATGCAATAAGGTAACCAGAGTTATGCTATTACCTAAATAACCCAAACGATTTAATAAAATATACAAAATGACAGTTTCAAGACAATGGATAAGAGGTCATGATGAACATGGATCCCTGATAGGAAAGAAACAAGATGATCCCTATGATTGCCCCAGCTTACTGTCTTGTTAGTTTCCAGGCAGCAGCTCAGAAGGCAGAACCTAGTAAGAGTCTAGTACACTCTCCAACTTCAAGAGCTAAAGCTAGGATTCTTGGAGACCAAGGCAAGTAGAAAGAATTCCAGAGAATTCCAGAGATTTGCAGAGTGAAGCCCTTTGAGTATTCAGTGAAATAGTGCTCTGAGCAAATGTGTGAGAAAACTACCAAAGAACCACCCAGAAAGATTACAGGGAATGCAGGACATGAAATATTGCTTGGTCCCACCAGCCAGACTGGATAATGTCATAATTCATGGTGCACTAGGTACTCAGAAGGGTTTCATCTCCGTAGTGGGGAATAATTATCACTAAACATGGCTCCGATTTCACCTAACAAATATTAAAAACAAGACATAAATGGATCAAACTGAGTCTAACTTAACTGCATTCCAGAAAAAAAAGCTGCAGAATTACAGAAATAAAAATACCTAAGCACCCAACAAGGTAAAATTCATAATGTCTGACATCCAAACTAAAATTGCCAATTATGCAAAGAAGCAGAAGAATATGACCCATCATAAGGAGAAAAATCAAAAAATCAAAATGGACCAAGAACTGAGACATGTTAGAATTAGCTGGCAAGGACATTAACAAAGTTTTTATAACTATACAATCAAAAGTTAAATAGAGAAATGGTAGATATATATACGTTTGTGAATATGAATATATACATACATATACATGTCTAAATCAAACTTCTAGAGATGAAACTCTAATATCTAGATGAAAAATACACTGGATGGGATTAATAGATTTGGCAATGCAGAAAAAAAAAAATAAGTGAATTTGAAGCTAGAGCAATAGAAACACAGAATAAAATAGAATCTAAAAAATGAAAAAAGTATCACAGAGTTACAGGATAACTTCAATCTGTTCAATATATATGAAATTACAGTCCCTGAAGGAGAGAAAGGGGACAAGGCACAGAAAAAATATTTGAAGAAATATTAGCAAAGAAATTTCCAATTTGATGAAAACTATAAACCCACAGATCCAAGATGCTTGACAAAGCCCAAGGAAAAGAAACATGAAGAAAACTACAATAAAGCACTTTAAAAATTGCTCAAAACCGATGATCAAGACAAATCATAAATGCAGAGGAAAACAGTGTGTTATGTAGAGAGGAACAAAGATAAGGATCATATTTCTTGTCAGAAACGATGCAAGTTAGAAGGCAACAGAGTAACATCTTGAAACCATTGAAAGACAAAACTGCCAACCTAGAACTTGGAGAAAATATCTTTTAACAATTATGGTGAAATAGTTTTCATTATACAAAAGTTCAAAGACTCTATCACCGGCATTGCAAGAAATGTTAAAAGAAGTCCTTTATTCAGAAAGAAAATGATACTACATGGATATGTAAATGTAAACAAAGAAATAAAGAACACCAGAAATGGTAACTACATGGAAAATACAAAAAAGATTATTTTTCTTAGTATCTCTTTAATGATAATTAACAGTTCTAATTCCTGGGAAGATGCAGTAAGCACACATCAACCCATGTCTCCCATTGAATAAAGCTCCCATTGAACAAAATGCATGAAGCAACTATTTGAGAACTGAGAAGCAAACAGTATCAGCCAAATTAGAGAAGATGACAAAAATTCAAAGTACCATGAAACCAGTGGTGAGTTACCATTTTCCCCCTCCAGGATTCCCAAGTCAGAATTCAAGTATGTGGTGACAGAAATAAATCTAACTATGGAAGGTGAACATATAATGTAAATATATATATACCTTACTGTTAAAATGTACAGCTGAAACTTACTGGATTTCATTAACCAATAACTTATAAAAAAATAAAATTAAAAAAAAAAAGAATTCGACATGCCAGAAACTCAGAAGTGGGCACACTGTTTTAAGTCTCCTCTCTGCACTCAGAGTTATGTTCATACTGTTTGACAGAGCCAATGTATAACATCCTTCATGATCTGGCCCTGCTTACTTCTTCTAAGGCTTCTTGCTTGCCATTCTTTGTCTTGAATTCTGAATTTTAGTTGTCCATGCTAAATTATATCCAGTTCTCTTTGCTTTGCCTGCTCTCCCACATTTGGGTTCTAGTAATTCTCTGCTTAAAACACTCTGCTTGGCTTTTGGTTTAGATAACTTCTTATCCCTCAGCACATTACTTTTTCCAGAAATCATCTTCTTGGCTCTCTCAACACTGATTTATGCCCTGATACATATTCTTACAGTAGCTATTATTATCCCTAGCATATTATTTATCAACTATAAATAATGGCCTCTTTACTTGCCTCCCTTTCCACTAAACCCTAAGTACCTTAAGGTGAGAGACTATGTCTTAATGATTATTATATCCTCCCTGCTTAGGAATATGTGATATATAATGGGACACAATAAAGAACTGCTAAATAAGTAAACAAATAAATGCTATGGAGTCTTCGGGCTTTTCTCCAATGCAAGAAAGAATTCTACAAAAATAGTCCATCAAAAAAATTACTTGAAAAAAAATTAAAACTATTTAGTTAGTTGATGTTCAGATTTGCCTCTTTAGAATGTAAGTACAAATGTTTTTGCTCATTCACTGTTGTATTTCTAATGCCTAGGAAAATGCAAGAAAATAGTAGGCACTCAGTAATCATTGCTAAATAAATGAAACATTAAGTGAGATCTTCTCAATATCCCTGCTAAATGCCCATGGAAGCTTCCTGAGATTTAGTTAAAGTTTACTACTGTGGTTCTCATCAAGAATTATTCCTGATAATAGATTAGAGAGGGTTAAAGTAATACAACTTATGTATGTATCATTAGTTCCCTCTCTCACACTTCTCTCACACTAGCTATTTTTAAGAATGAATAGTTTTTCTCATTTTTCACATATATATGAAATCCTTCCAGCTTCTTTCAATTCCTCTAAGTGTCCTTTCTTTCAGAGTGCCCATACAAGTTTATGTGTGTGTTAGAACAAAATAGGATATGAACACTTTTATACCCACTGTCAGTTGCAGAGAAGGATGCATCCCATGCAGACTCATCCAGAGGAATCACGAGCTGCCCTCCTGCCTCCCATTTCTTGCGATCAGATGAAACTGACTTTTCTTTTTCATGTCCTTTGTCATCTTCGTGAACAATTATCTCACAGGTATCAGAGTGACACTGCTTGCCTTTTTCATCTTCTTGAGCTTTAAGATTTTGATTTAATCTACGTAGTATTTCTCGCTTACTCTGAAACAGTTAAAACCCTATACTTTAATATGCATATGATGATTAAGTAATATGATAAAAAAAAAAAATGAAAATTGCACCTACCGAAATAGCATTGTTAGTCTTTTGCATTTCTTCTGCGGGTTCCTGGGTACCAGTTAAACTGTCCTTTAAACACAGATAGTTACAAAGTAAGAAATAATGTTATTTTAAAAGTCTACCTTAAAATTTGTGATATTTTTGTTAAGTTTTATTTTTCTTTAAATTGCTCTTTGTGTATTATTTCATTCCTGTAAATGTCAACACCGCTTCCTTCATTATCTGCAGTGAGAAACAGTTAAATATAATCAAGTAATAGGCTTAATATATAGTAGAAGGGCCAATTCTCAATTATTTGTCATATTTTTAAATTACCAATCATGTATATAACTATACACTCTTCCTCTGTGGCATCTGATTTTTTGATAATTTTAAGTCAATAACAGAAATAAAAAAAATAATTCATATACTCTTAATTAAAACTAAGGAAAGTTTTAATGAATAAAGTAATTCAATATAGGCTGTGTTATTTTGAAGCTGTCTTTTGTTTCATGAACAATATGTATTCTTATTAAGCCATACTATTAAACATAATTGAGAATTGTTTTTTCTCTCTAAGCAAAGAAAGTAACAATAATGAATTTGAAGTCCCATGTACTAATAATATAAATTTTGTTTTCTGATTAGTAAAATCATAGCAATCTAGACTACCTAGAATTTTTAAATACATGAAAAGAAATTAGTAGTTATGAAAGCTATGAAAGCAAGGATAACTGGAAGACTCAGACTATGGAAGAGCAATTCTCAATTTTAAATAAGCACTACCTGTCAAGAAAACACATAAAGAAAAACCATTTATTTACATGGATTATCTCAATTTTGTACTATTTGAGAAAAATACAAAAGAGTATAATGGTCGGTTTTAAAGTAATTCATGAAATGAGACAAACAGTATTTTACCCAGTAAAGTAGTCAGGAATTAGCGTCACTACAATCAGAGAGATGAACAGCTATTTGAGATATGAGACTGAGTACCAGGAGGGGAACCCCACAGTGGTATCAAAAGCTGAAGTGAACAATATAGCACAAGCAAAGTCATTATCAAAAAGTAAAAGAGACTAAGCGTACTTGAAGAACCATATTTTCTTATATGAAGTTCTTGAGAGTGAGCGAAAAACTAAGTCTTATTTTCAAAATAAACAAAAAGGCTGTAAAAAAATTGTTGTACCAATGACATCAGAGTTGTCTGCAAAAACTTAATGAAACTCAATAATTAAAAGGCACTGACATTAATTACCAGGAAAGGAGAAAATCATGTTAATGTGTTATATTATATGATTCGGTAGACTTTTTCCCTTCTTTCTGTTGAATTGTAGGCTGAAGTTCCACATCATGAGCCCATTTCCCTTAATCCTAAAACAGAGTTTTCACATTTTAGATGGATACCTGACACATACTTCAGAGTTTAAACTATCTACTTGCCCACATTGCTATGTCTTACTATCTATTTGGCATGACAGAGATTTAAAAATAGAAGTTAAAAGAAATAATTGATGAATTACGTGCAATTATACTGAGTCCACTAACATCTGTTATGCCAAAAAAATTAAAATAGATGTAAACATGTCTTGGACTTTATTCCTAGAAGTAATTACTCTAAGTACCAAAAAGACATTATTTCTTAAAAAGTGCATTTTTGCTGACTGTGAAAGATGGAATATATAAATGTTTTTGCATGATTTTTAGTATATTTCTATATATATTTTTTATTTATTCAATATTAGTTTAAAGTTAAAGAGAGGGAGAATCATTCCAATAATTTTTATCTACCAGGTGGTCCTAGATATAAAACTTAAGATCAGCGAGGCCCCAATATTCAGAGTAAACATACACAAAAATCTTAAAAAGTAATTTTTTTTCCTAGGAAAAAACCTAACGGGACATTAGAAATTAATATAATTTCATTATATTTAATCTGTTTAATAATCTTTTAACTTTGAAGCAGTCTAAATTTTAGGAAACTTACCATACCCACTTCTTTCAAAGCTGAAGTGACAGAAATAACAGATCTCATCTGTTGCTTTGATGGAGAGCCACCTGAATCATGCTGTCCTGAAGGAGACATATCAGAATTCTTTACTCCTTTAGCCACCAACTGTAATAAAGAATTTAAACACCCATTGAGAAATGTATATTTGCATGAAGAGATCACTGTTTGTTTATGCACTCTATCCACAAGTAGTTTTTTTAATTCTTCAATTGTCATAATGCAAGGCAATGTGCTAGATGCTAAAAGATCAGTGGATAAAGAGAAACATCTCTGGCTTCAGATGTAAAAATAATTATGTGTCATGTAGTACTAAATAACTCCTTTCCACTGCATTAACGGTGTTTCATAAAATGATGATAAAAAACAAACTTTCCTAAAAAATTAAATACTAGTACTTTCACTTTAGTTTTAATCCACTACAACATTTGGTGGGAAGAAAAACATATTAATCTTACACTTCAGAAAAATGCTTCTGCAATTTCCGTAAGTTCAGTACAATCTTCATAAAGTCTGAACATCAGTCACACAACATAAGAGCCCTCATTATAAAAATGTGAACATACATGAGAATGGAAGAACTGATATATACAGCTAATAAAATTTATATCACTGAGAATACATTTGTTATAGTCACATGTGTGTTCATTTTATCTTGCCATTTAGACTCTAAATTATGTAAATTAAGATTCTGAAGCTTTAATAAATATAAGGAAATGCCATTTACAGGTACGATCATAGTAACATGACAACAAGTCTTCTCCCTACTTCTGACTTTTCTTCAAACCAGTAAATAAGAATTTCTGGTGAGTATACATATTGAATGCAATCTTTACTGATCATCTAGTAAGCATAAGGTAGTAACAGAATTCTAAATTTGGTCTTCTGGATTTCCGTTTACACCAATATAGGTTGTTTGAAAGAAGATGGACATATTAACACAGTATTGAAGGAGAAGAACAAAGTTCAAGGAATGACACTACCTGGCTTCAAGCCTTACTATAAAGCTACAGTATCAAGACAGTGTGGTATTGGTGAAAGAACAGACATGTAGATCAATGGAACAGAATAGAACTCAGAAACAGATCACACAAATATAGTCAACTAATCTTTAACAAAGGAGCAAGGGCAATTTAATGGAGAAAAGATAGTCTTTATAATAAATGGTGCTAGAACTGAACAACCACAAGCAAAAACAAACAAAAAAATGTATCTAGACACAGACCCTACACACTTCACAAAATTAACTCAAAATCTATCACAGACCTAAAAACTCCTAGAAGATAATATAGGAAAAAATCCAAATGACCTTGGACTTTTTAGGTAGAACACCGAAGGCATGATGTTAAAGAGAGAATATATAAAATAGATTTCATTAAAATTACAAACTTTTGTTCTGTCAAAGACGCTGTTGAGAGAATGAGAAGGCAAGCCACAGACTGGGAAAAATTATTTGCAAAATACATAAACACATAAAGGATTGCTAATCAAAATATAAAACAACTCTTAAAACTCAACAATAAGGAAACAAACAACGCATTTACTTACTGGCACATACATGGACATTCAGTGCTCAAAAAAAAAAAATGAGCTATCAAGTCATGCAAAGACATGCAGGAAACTTAAGTGCCTTTTACTCAGTGAAAGAAGACAATCTGAAAAGGATACATTCTACATGATTTCAACCATATGACTTTCTGGAAAAGGCAAAACTGTGGAAATAATAAAAGATCAGTGGAACCAGGGGCTAGCAGGGGAGTGGGGCTGGTGGGAGGGATGAATAGGCAAAGCACAGGGGTTTTTTAGGGTAGTGAAAATACTCTGTATGATACTATAATGATGAACATATGTCATTATACATTTGTTCAAACCCACAGAATGTACACCACCAAGTTTAAACTATAATGTAAGCTATGGACTTTGGGTGATGATGTGTCAAGGTAGGTTCATCAACTGTAACAAATGTACCACTCTGGTGGGGGATGTTCATAATGGGGGAGGCTATACCTCTGTAGGGGAAAGGGGTGTATGGGAAATCTCTGTACCTTCTTCTCAATTTTGCTATGAACCTAAAACTGTTCTAAAAAGTAGTCTTTATTAAAAAAACAAAAGATGAAGTACTGCTTTAATCCCATAGTTCAGTGCTGTGGAGAAAGTACAGTGATGTTTAAAATATATGATAAATGACTTTTAAAAAATTCTAGAGCTCACACAACTATTATCTCCTTGAAAGATTATGTAGAAATATTCTGAAACTTTATAATTGTCTTACTACCACAGAGTATATTCAAAATAGGTACCATAACTTGAGGGAATAAAAACAAGCTCCAATTAGATCTGAACAAATAGCCACATTTTTAGAAGAAATATGTTATTTCCCTAGATGGTTATTTTGAAGAAAACAAATTAATTTGGACATAAAACTGTGCCATTATTATTTAAATCAGTAATATCTTCCTTACCACATATCATATTTCTTAATTGTATTATACCAATTTACTTAAAAATGATTTCTGCTATTTCAATAAATAAATCTAATGTGATTTTTATGAGAAGACAAATATACAATATCTGATTAAAATTAATCAACATATTCAAAAATATATTAAGTGCCAAGCACAGTGCTAGATCTACATGGTAACTGTGTGAGTTGACAGATGTTACTGTGGTAATCAGTTCACGATACATACATATATCAAATCATCATGCTATGTATCTTATACTTACGCAATGTTATTTAACAATTATATTTCAGTAAAGTCAGGGGAAAAAACTCAGTATATTATAGACTAGAACTAATGGCAATAAATAATTCTAAACCAAAAAAGTAAAAGAAAAACAAAACAAAATGAATGACAATGCTTTTTCTCAAAGGATTACAAAGTATAAGAGAAAGGAGAACATAAAAATCAATCAGTATGTTACACAGAAATAAAAGTAGATGTGTGCTAAATAATCTGGGGAAAAACAAACAAAATAAAAACTAGAGAAAGAACTGTGTAAAAAGCCAGGATGGGAGATGGTGAGACCAACTTTAATAAAGTATCCAATTTGAATGGCCATTCATTGTTTAAGAAGTTCATAAAATACAGTTGAAGTAGGATAGTTCTAAACTCAAATTCCAAACGTCTCCCTTACTAGTCTCATGATTTTTTATTGTTTTTTATCCTCTCTAAACTTCGAGCTTTTTCTAAAATAGGAATGCTGTACCCATTGTCTCCTTGCTATAGGGATTAATAAACGTGATAATTTATGTAAGGTGTACAGCTGTGAGGCATTTGTTGTACCTAACAAATGGTAGTAATTACTATGATTTAGCAAATATTTATTTAGCTTTCATTAAATAAGGTCATTTGGTTTAAACACTAAAAGTCTGGTTTTAGTATCTGACAAAATGAAGAAACTTGCACAAAGCAAAATAAAAACAACAACTACTCATCTATGCAAAATTAAAATTTGAAGTTTTTGTAGTGTATAAGAATTGACACAGACATCAATAAGCAGCAGAAACCGGAAAGAAAATACTTTACATGATAAAATTTAAAAAAACGATATAGAGTAATTTAATTGTATGAATAATTAAACAAGAGAGATCATATAAACTTAACCAATTTCACTAAAGACCACCAACTTCCCTTCTCAACCTATGATACGATTTGCATTTATGCTTATAAAGACTATCTCAAAAGTCATTTCCAAAATTATTGGGAAGATGACTATGATAGACATATTAAAGAAACTTTTAATAAAAGAAAAAAAGTCACCTATATAGCCACTGCTCTAATACTTCATTTATCTATATGCTTTTATAATGATTAATCACATACATACATAATTCTTATACAGTTTAAACAGGGAATTGGCACAACTCTCTGAAATTGTAGACATATGGCCTAAGAAAAATTTTAAACATTTTGGGGAATATTTAGCAGGTTATGTCCTTAAAGAATGATAAAAGTCACATAAAGGGATTGAAATCCTTTCTCTTGACCTTATATTCTTTAGATATAAATTATAATAGAGATGTTTCTATATTAATCTCAACCTTAAAAGAAACCTAAAAATCTGTTTATTGATAAAGTGCTATGAGTTGAACAGTAAGAAACAAAAGATAATCAAATTTAGGAAAGTGTTGGGATTATTATACTAAGATATGGATGATCTCGACAAAATTCTGTTCACACTGCTTATCTTTGTACTTATAGAAGCAAATCTTTTAATGAACAGAAGCTATTTCAATGAAGAAAATACTTCACACATTACTATTAAAAACTTATTCCGTGTTGTACAAAAATCTGTATGACTGACTTATACATGGCTAATGACTGGTATACAGTCACAGGTATATATTTTATGATCTAAGATATCTGATCCAATGTTTAAGACACTGGCACTGCTGTAGTAATGACCGTCAGCAGCTTTCGGAAACGCTTGTGTTCTATAATAGAACACATGGTAGTTGCTCTCGGGGCTCCACTAAGCTTAAAAGATCAGAAGAAGCTGAAACAATGAAAAAGCAAAAAAACTCAGACATTTGAAATCTAAAGCGAAGAACAAAGACCAACAGAACATCTACTAATTCTTACAATTGATAATAAAACTAAGTCAGTTATTGAAAATTTAAAGGTAATTCAGTTAACTACTGAGACATGGTAATATTACTAGAAGCCAAGGAATACATATCACTAACCTATTAGTACAGTAGAACTTGGGCCTTCTGAGTAAACATCATATAACCTGAATGTTAAGGCTATTATTATTAAATGTTAACCAGATCTTGAGATAAAAGTTATCATGTAAAATTGCTTCTATTTTATCTGTCAATTGTACTATTTGCTGAAAATTAACCATCTTTGCCACTAAATCACAAAACTCAAAATTTCTCCAAAGAGACCAGGTTTATAAACACACGAACCTATCAGTTTACCTACTCTTGAAGCATACGAAATACAAATACTATTGCCGTTGTACATGCTGAATGATTAATAAGGATTTAATGTATGTTAGAAAAATATTATGAAATGGCCTGATTTCATATTTTTAATAGAGAGCAAATTCACATGTAATTTAATACAGTCTAAAGCATGGCCAAATTTTATCAAATTCATGCTGAACTTCTTAGAACTCTGTCTCTAAAAAACCAAAAATAGAAAAATATTTGTATATGAATAATTTTCTAGTATAATGCATTTATAAGAATGTCTAAGTGTAAGAACAGCACAAGGTCATCAGAAAGAGAAATGTTTCTGCCCTGGAGGAAGCCTACCTGTATGGCAGGTGCAAAGAACAGGACAAAGACAGAAACAGAAATGAAATAACACAAAACAGTTAAATGCAATTAAATGGGAACTCATCATATTCAAAATACACTCTCTGATCTAAGAAAGAATTCCTCTAATTCCATTTTTCATTGAATTTTAATTAAATATGTTGCTATACTTGTTAAAAATTGAGTATCTTTCTTATATATTTCACTCACAATATGAGCATATATGCTGGCCGAGAAAGTAAACACTGTATTATTTGGGAGGAAAAATCTATCATCATACATTAAAATTATTTTTCATATTAAAGTCCTATTTAGTATTACAGTTCTTACCATTAAATATGTCAGAGAAAAATTTATAAAATTGGGTTATACATGCCAAAGAATTAGAATAATTATGGCAGTGATTTTTACCATTTGTCAGATCAAAAATACTTTTGAGAATCCAGTGAAAGATATGTGGTCTTACCAAAGAAAACTACAATATACATACAAACTTTTAACAAACATTTCAGATAGTTTAGTAATGTTAACTCCAACTCTGAATACCACATTAACCATTCCTGAGTTAGAGTAATGGCCAGCAAGTAAATATTACATTTAGATTATGCTAAATTAGACATTTTGTTGAAATAATTACTTGATAAAATAACTTTAACCCATTTTCTGTAGATTAACCTGGACTTAAGTACATACATTATGAAGAGTATTTTTCAAGGTAATTTAGACAGAGCAACATTAGAGATCAAGCCTTTAATTTAGGAGATGAGGAAATAAAGGCCTGAAAATATTAAACCAGTTCTCCAAACAGGCAAATTAAGTGGCAGAGCTGAGAGTAAAAATCAAATATTCAGATTCCTAGTCTCATCTCGTGCACCAGTTTTACTGAGATATAATTGAAAATATCACTGTATGAGTTCTAGGTATACAATATAAAGGCTTGACTTACATATATTGTGAGATCATTACCACAGTAAGTTTAGTTAACATCCATCATCTCATCTATATACAATAAAAAGAAATGGAAAAAGAATTTTCTCCTCGTAGTAAGAACTCTCTTAAGGTTTACTCTCTTAACAACTTTCTCATATGCTATATCATATAGCAGTGTGTGCTACAGGCATCACATTGTACATTACATCTCTAGTACTTATTTATCTTATAACTGGGAGTTTGTACCTTTTGACCATCTTTATCCAATTCCTTCTCTCCCAACTCCGACCTCTGGTAATCATAAATAGGATCTTTTTCTATGGGTTTCCAGCCTCATTTTTTTCTTCACTATACCAGGACACATTCAGTAAACAAATGTATTCAGTAAACATTTTATGCATAATTCTGAAATATCATGAGCCACAGAAGTCTCAATTAATTTATTTGTATTACTATTCATCGGGTACCGTGCTGAACACTTTACATAGTGAATCAGTTAAAGTTCGTTGGTTGAAAGCAATAGAAACTAACTCTGAAAAAAGGGAGGAAGTGAAGGAAGGAGGAGGTGGCGGAACAGTAGCAAGTGGGATCACAAAAGCAAAAGGAAGCCCTCTTAAAAATCTGGGTAGCTTTATAGATCTAGGTGGCAGAAACTAATTCATGGTTTTCATGAGGTTCTCTTATTGGATTAAATAAACTCGAACTTCAAATCTTGTGATAGTCCGCTCAAGCTTCAAGTCCTGGGATAGAATTCTATTGGTCTACTTTAGAGGACCTGCCTATCCCTCAGCTAGAAGAAGTCTGGACACCTTATTTGACAGTTTTACCAAAAGAATACACAATAAAATAATTCTCCCAAGTGAAAATGAGTTGCTGGCCTATTGGACCTCAAAATCCAGGCTCGCTACCACAGTTTAATGCTGCCACCATAAAAATATTTCTGAAGAAATGTGAGGAAATACAAAGTTTTACCATACTAGCAACTATTATTATCTATCAGTAATACTGTCATAAAACCTATCATTTGTATGCACTTTAGAACTGAGATATATCTACCATTATAAAGGAGAAAACATATACAGAGAAAAAAGTTTTACACTGGTTTTACATAGCTTAGAAAGTAACTTTTAAGGGAGCTTTTCTTAAACTGTACTAGAAGTATATGAATGTTCTTGAAAGTATGTTGCATGAATATAATGAGGTCTATTGCAGCCTCTGGTAATAGAAAAGACTCCATTCCCACTGGTCATCTGAGGAAACAGAACAATGCTATTATGCAGGTACACAACTGCCCAGTAATAAAAGTATATAGTAAGAATGTAAAACACCTGCTCGCAGCTGAATCATGTTGGACACAATTTGTAAAATGCATTCATTGAAATATAAAACTTAACAGTTATTCTAAAGGTACTCCCCCCTCCTCTTCTCCTTTTACCTCCTCCACCACCTGTGAAATTCTGTTCCTGATGCTTAAGGAAAGTTAACTCCATGCTACAAAGACCATCAGAAGAGCGGCTTTAAAATAGTGGCCATCAGCAGAAGTAGAATCCTAATTTTTTTTCATGTTCTTAAATCCTTTGATGTCAAATAAATATATCTTGCAGAGATCTCTGAAACTGTTAATTTCCAGTAATGCCTGGAACAAGGAGCACGATTCCAAATTGAACTCATGATATGTCTATTTAAATGGATAAGATTGGATGTCGAGGCTAAGGATAAGAACATTCTGAGGTAGACAGAAATGGGGAGTGTATGGCAGGTCCAAAGAATAGGGCGAAGACAGAAATGAAACACGCAAAAAAGAGTAAAATGCGATAAAGGAAGAACTCGTCATATTAAACCACAGTCTGCGACCTAACCACAGGAAAGATTTCCACAGATATGCAGCCTGAACTCTGGGGATTTCTTTCACTCGTTCTCACGTAGCTGAACGTTTCTTTTATATTAGGAATCTGGGAAGAGAACTTCCCTGAATATTACATCAATGGGTAGATTAAAAAAAAAAAAAAATCACATTAACGAATAAACAAGACATCTGATAAAACTCCAAAAGATATTTCAGATAAAATCTGTAAAATATAGAGATAAAACTATAGTCCTTACTCTTTTACCATACATAACAGAGACATGACTAAAGTACTTCCATTAAACACAGGAACAAAATATTATCGCTATTCTTATTTAACATTTCCTAGAAGTTCTGGACAATGCGATAAGAACATAATAGTAATAAAAGGCACCACTTAAAGAAAGCAGGGGAAATTAAGGTGTGGTACATAAAAATAAAGACCTCGACACTGGGCAGATCCACATTCAAATATGTGTTCCGCACTTACTGGAAATGTCATCTCATCTAATTGTTTTACCCTTTCTACATCTGCTTTGTAAAGCTATAAAGGTTAAACAAAGCAATACATGTGCAGTAGTTATAATGTGCCTACCATACAATAAACTGTAGGAATTATTGTTATGATGTATATCAAGACTACCTGTCAATGATAGTCTCATGCTACAAACCTATAAAAATTTTATTAAAAATTGGTAGAATAGGTAAACTCATTGTAAAAGAGAGAAGCAAAAACCAACAACTTCTCCAAATATCAGCGATATTCTGTCAAGAAAAAAAAACCTATAAAAGCAGAAATGGAATTATAAACTATCAAGAACTAACCTTTACAAGAAATATAACCAGTATGAGTTAAAAATGATCAAAATTGTATAGGAGATATAACAGAAACAATGAGTAAATGTAGATATTTAGCATGCTCCTGGATAAAGACTTTATAAGCCTATCAGTTCTCCTTAAGCTAATTTGTAGGTTTAAGTTAGTATTGATAAAAATTCCAAAGGATTAAAAAAACACCAAAAATAATCCTAAAATGTATATGGTAAAGAGAGCAAATAACTAAGCATAAAAAATGTAAAAGAAAAATGAGGAATGAACATTATTAGAAATTAAATATTTTCTAAATCCATAATTATTAATGCAATATGGTACTGGCAGAACAGACAGAAAGAATGGAGCGGAAGGGAAACCCTGATACATATATGCTATAGGTTCATTCTTTAGTATATATAATAATTTAATATATCTTAAAGGTAGCACTATAGATCAGTGGCAAAAAGAAGTATAGCCATTAAGTGATGTTGGGACTTCGATTAGCTACTTGGAAATAATAAAAAAATAAAACAAATTAGGTTCTCACCTCAAATCAAATGCCCAAATAACTTTTATCCTAAAATTAATCATTCTAAAATTAAGAGAGAGAGACAGAGCAATAGAAAGAAGGAGAGCAGGGGAAGAGAAGGGAGAGGGAGAATGAATGACAATTAAAAAATTTAAAAAAATAATTACAAAATTATAATGCCTAATATACTACCCAGTAAGAGATACAAGCACGTTAACAAGACCAAGATTAAGAGTATGAGCTAAATCTTACATGCTCTTCCCATACTTTCTTTTCTCTCTCATATGCTTCCTTTCTCTTTCGTTCCAATTGTTCTTTTAATACAGAAGCACGTGCACTTGCTTGGGCCTGAAAATAAAAACAATCAACAAAATTAGTTATCAGGAAGAAGAGCGTAAGGTTTCTTTTTTTCAGGTCTCTAAAGATATTTACTTACTAGCCAAAAAAAGAAGTGTGTGTGTGTGTGCACGTGCGCTCGCACACATGCAGTGTTCCAGAATAAAAACGTTAGCTCACTTCATAGCTCCAGCATCTAAACCAGGGCTCAGCACACAGCAGCTGCTCCATAAATGTTTATTGAAAGAAAATAAATGCGAGTACATTCTAATGGAAGTACAAATGTAAAAATTTTAAACTACGATTATTATATACAAACTTCATTGATCTTCACAGAAATGAACCATTATGTTTTTAATTTTTAAGGTTACCTTTTTTCTTTTTAAGGTTACTTATGTGATGGTTTCATGCATTTGCAATGATTTCATCAAACTGATCTCTGTAATATGATATAAAGAGAGAAAGGCTATTTTTCAGAAACCAAAAAAGTTAGAGAAAAATGAAAAAGAAAAATTAAAGCAAGAGAATAAGATAATTTAACTATAAAAGACTTAAGAACACAATTCTCTATCTCAGGCTTCAATTTTCTCTAAGAAAACGATTTCTAGACTATACCTTAAGTGCTTCAACTTTTTTACGCCTCATGTCAGCCTCCTCACTTCCCTCTTGTCCTTCAGAATTATCCACTTCTTTCTGCAAAATAGATAAGCGAACCACTTAGGATAGAATCCCAAATTTAGAGCAGAGCTCTGTGAAGAGAATATGAATAAACTAAAATCTAAATATGTAAAATGGTAAACTGTTCAATTTCACTAATTTTCTCTCACAGCTACGTGGAAACACTTTACACTTACAAAGTCCTATGGACAATGGGAAAAAGATTATAAAGAGAATGACAGAAAAATGTACCATTTTACATGCCCATGGGTACTACTTATATTTTACTCATAGAATTCCTCGGCAAAAAATGGTCTTACAAATTTTAAATCATATAAAGAAGTTTACTTTATCCCCAAGTATAATTTCTGGCCTTTGACTTCCACTGTTTTCATCAGATTTTATTTTTTGTTAGTGGCACAGCACTTCTTTTTTTATGGTGGTATGGTGGTGGTGGTGGGTGTGTGGCACAGCATTTTTAATCTTTACTTATTACAATGTCATTCAATTACTTTTTTAAAAATTGATTTTTAACCTGCCTTTTCACCACGAAGTTTGGCTCTAATCTGTTGGCGCTCATTGAAATTCTGCAATCTTATTTGTCTCAGCCTTGCAAGATAAACCTACAAGAAGGAAAAAAACATAACATTTTAATGTAAAAGAAAAATTACCAATATTTTTACTCCTATATTTTTTTAAAAAAATTAAAATAAAGCAAAGTGTTAATCTGAATACAAGAAATAAAAGCTTTGAAATCTGGTTAATGGAAATGTAATATTAGCTTTCAAGTGTTTAATTTAGATCAACTTATTTCTGAAAAGAAATACATTATAATTACAAATTTTTAGTTTTATCAAAAGAAAAAATTAAACTCAGAATACTGAATAGCAGTTACGGGGCAAAATTATGACATAGATATGTCAGTCAAAATTCATTAACAGGTCCCTATACACCTACAAAATCTTCAAATAATTGTTAAGAATTTAAACCATGCAAGAAAGGAAGGCATTAAACTCAAAAATGGCTGTGACGGAGGTAGCGAACATGCGGGAAGCATACCTCTTCCTCTTTGTTTCTTGGCTTCCCTCCTCTTGAAGAGCTGGACCTGCCTCCATACATAGCTGCCAGGTTTTGCAGGAATCCCTGTTCATCATTTAATGTACTAAGTTTAAAGAATGACTAAGGCTACATCAGCATCTTACTTAGGAATATCCAGGTGCCACTTTATTTCTTTTGGCTTATACTGATAGTTCCTAGCTGATAAACTGATAACAAACCCTGGCATTTTCTTGTATCAATTTAACCAACAGATTCAGTGACAACAGAAGGAAGCAATTAAACCTCAAACATAATTATTCAAAACCAAGACCAGCTATGTTTTCATTAGCCACACATGTAAACAGGTTTTCAAAACTGTTTTGGAGGTTAGCTAAAACCCAAATCAAATTTTTTCTCTACAAAGGGCAATCATTTCTCCATGTTTGTTTCACACAAAATAAAAACACAATATAAAATATTTGAGCTTAAACTCTTTTTATTCAGCCACATCCTGTTACTATACTACAAATGATCATACCCAATCACAAACTAATTCATCTTTTAATATAGTTTATCTTATTAAAAATTAATATTCTTTAATAAAAGTATCAGATTGTCAAATTAACCATTTTCTCTTCCTTCAGCACACAACTATGCTTCACGTTCTTCCTAATTAAAAAAAATCCTCATTCCCACTTTCCTGCCTGTCTTTTTATCAGCTTGTTGAGAGCACACCTTTTATGTTCATCGCCTCCAATTTACCGCTTGCCATTTATTTTTTAACCCATTACAATCTGTTTTCTGATCCCGCTATGACTGAAAATTTTCTAAGGTTACCCATGACCGTTAGTTCACAATACAAATTTTGCAATTAAGATTTCCACTGGAAATTAGTTTGAACTAAATCTACTTAATTTACATAAGTATTTTTCCCCTCATAAAAATCATGTATGTTCACTGTAGAAAATTTATGAAATGGAAAAATATGAATCAGTCATAATTCTACCAACTGAGAAACAAAATTTAAGATTACCTTCCAAATTTTCTTCTATGCATATGTATGGATGGATATGTACACATTTATTTTTACAAAACTGTAATTTTACTGTATTCTGATTTTTTCACTTAATATTAATCAACATTAATATTCTGAGTTTCCACATTCAACATTATTAAAAACATTACTCTTAACTGACTATATAAAATTCATAACCCACTAAATAGTGAATTATGATTCACATACACACATATTCTTCTCTTTCAGTATTTAAAACAGCACCCTCTCCTGGGATCTTCCAATCTTCCCTATTTTTCATAGGCTTTTCTCTTCCTTGGCTCATTGCTAATGTCAATATTTTCTAGAGATTCGTTCTCTGGCCCTCCTTCCCTTTTCATTCTTAGGCTTTAACATATGTTGCCAATTCCCAAATCTAAACCAACCTTGCAGTCCTTTTCTCTTAAACTTTTGTATATAGGCAACTGACACCTGAACAACTCCATTCTTACATAGCACAGCTTCCTCAATTTATAAACCTAACTTCATCATTCTTTTTGCTATATGATCTTACTCCTACCTCACTTACTGCTCACAATTGGCCTCCCAAGTCAGCAGGCTGAGAGTTATTTCGCCTCTCTCCCATCTGCCAAATACAAATGACAACTAACCAATTCTACCTTCTAATAACTCCAGAATTCATCTCTTTAGTTTCTGCTTTAGCTCAGGCTCTCTTCTTTTGATTTCTGGATTTCCAAAAGGGCTTCCTAACTTATTTTACCTCTGGTCTTAAATCCCTCCAATCTATTCTCTACAGTCCAGTCAGAGTAACCTTTCCAACATTCTCCTTCACATCTAGCCCCAGATAAATCTTTCAATGGTTCCCATTACATTCAGAATACAACTCGCATTCTGTTGAATGGCAGATAAGGCATCTCTAGTCTCATTTCTGCCACTGCTCATTCATAAAGTCTACATGCAAGCCATGACAACTATTTGTGGTTTGTGGACAACCCCATGACCTTACTCATCTTAAAATGGCTAACTAATCATTTTCCAAAATGCAAATCAACCATCTATCATCTCGAAAGCCTTGCCCAAGCATTCTCTAGTGCGCTAAGTGTGACCTACCCATACCATTTCTTATACAATTATAAAAAATATATTTTTATGTAAATGCTCCCACAGGAGCACTCATCAGAAGAAGTCTACTACAATAGTGGAGAACGTGGACTGTGACAGACTGTGAAGTCTGGAAGTTCACGTATTCATCAATGCCTCCTAACCACTGCTGACCTTCAGCAAAATTACTTATACTTGCTTTAAGTCTGGCATAAATAATACCACCCATTTCATGGGTGTACCAGAACAAAAAGTATTGTTACATGCTCTGTCTTTCTCCTGTCAGCTTAACAAAAGGCTTCTGCCCACTTAGTTTCTTCCCCTCCTCAAGGAGATCTTGGCATTAGCTTATCAGTTACTTGAGCTTTTGAGATATAGGTCACTGAGTGGGGGAGGTGAGGGAAAACAAGAAATAGGAATGGCTGGGCAAAGATATGAGGTAAACTCTAAAAAAAAAAAAAATAGGAATATCTACAGAGTTACAGGAGAGTGGGTGGCAAAATGAGTATTGCTATAGATTTTATCTTCCCTTCATGGTATTTGAGAAATAAAAAAAAAAAATCTGAGTTACTCTGAAATAATCTTTTTAACATTTTAATATTTAACAAAAATCTTTTATCATTTTAGTTTGAAATATTATAGATTTACAGAAAGGTGAAAAGTAATATACAGAGAGGTTCTTTTATCCAGCCTCACCTAATTTTATCATCTTGCATAACTATACTACACTATCAAAACCAGGAAACCGGCACTGGTACAAACCATAAAGATTGGTTTCACCAATTATACACGTACATATTTGTGTATCTGTATTAATGCAATTTTATCACACATATAGCTTTGTGTAAGTAACCACCGCCATAATCAAAAAACTAAACTGCACCATTACTATAACACTTTATAGCCATATTCACTACTCCGATCCCTAATACCCGTCGACTATTAATCTTTTCTCCATCTCTAATTATATTTCATGCATTATATATATATGGAATCGTATAGTATGTATCCTTTTGAGACTCACTGTTTTTACTCAGTATTATTTTCCTTGCAGTCCATCCAAGGTATTAGATGCATGAATCAATGGTTCATTCCATTTTACTGCTGAATATTATACCATTGGACGGATATAGCATAATTTGTTCACACATTCATCCACTTTAGTACATCTGGGTAGTTTTCAAATTTTTGGCTATTAATAGTAAAGTTGCTAAGAACATTCACATACAAGTTTCTAAATGAGTATAATTCTTTTCTCTGGGACATAAGCCCCAAAATGGAATTACCTACTCTTGGTAGAGTAAATACATTTTTAGTTTTAAAAAGGACTGCCAAACTATTTTAGACAGTGGCTGTATCGTTTTACGTTTTTACCAACAATGTATAGGTGATCATTGTTGGTAAATGATCGGCCTCATCAGCATTTGGTTTTATCACTATTTTTTATGTTAGGCATTCTGATGTGTGTAGTAGGTACATTATTGTGATATAAATTTGTATTTTCTAAATGGCTAACGATGATAACCATCTTTTCATATGTTTATTTGCCATCTGTATATCTGCTTTAATAAAATGTTTAGCATGTCTTTTGCCCATTTTCTAAGTGAATTCTTTGTGCTTTTAATGTTGAGTTTTGGTGGTTCTTTATATATCCTAGATACAAATCCTTTGCTGAATATAGGGTTTACAAATATTTTCTCCTAATCTGTAATTTGCATTTTCTTTCTCTTAACAGGGTCTTTTGCAGAGCAAAAGTTTTTAATTCTGATAAAAGTTCAGTCTATCAAATTTTCCTTTTATGGATCATGATTTTGGTGTCAAGTCTAAGAACTGAATTCTAGGTTCTGAAATTTTCTTTCTCTAGAAGTTTTACAATTTTATGTTTTATATTAGAGCACATCTGTTTCGAGTTAATTATTTTATAAGGTGTGATGTTTACATTAAGGTTCATATTTTTCCCTGTATATGGATGTCCAATTTTTCCAGCACTATTAGAAAGACAACCCTTCCCCCACTGAATTGCTTTTGCTTCTTTGTCAATAATGGGGCATATTTGTAAGGATCTATTTTTCGTTTCTCTATACTGTTCCATTGATTTATGTATCTATCCCTCCACCAGTTACTACACTGTTTTGATTACTATAGTTATAAGTAAGCCTCAACATCAGGAAGGGTCATTATTCCTACTTTATTCCTCTTCAAACTTGTCTTGGCTGTTTTAAGGCATTTTTCATGCCATATAAATTTTAGAATAAGCTTGTCGATGTCTATAAAAAATGTTTGAGATTTTACTAGGAATTGCATTAAATATATAGATCAATTTAAGAAGACCTGCCATTTTTACTACATAGTCTTCCAATTCACGAACGTGGTATGATTCTCCAAGTATTGAGGTCATCTTTGATTTCATCAACATTTTGTCATTTTAATCATACAAATCTACATGCTTTGTTAGATTCTTTTAAAATTTTCTTTGGAGCAGATATAAAGGGTATTGCATTTTTTAAAATCAGTGTGCACTTGTTCTTTGTCAATGAATAGACAGGGAGGAGGCATGGGATAGATTCTTCCTCATAGCCCTCAGAAGGAACCAATCTTATCAACATGTTGATCTCGGACTGCTACTCTACAGAACTATGAGATAATAAATTTCTGTTGCTTAAGCCACTTTGTAGTGCGCTTTGTTACAACAGCCCTAGTAGATTAATAAACAGAAAATGCACATAAATTGCTTAATCTAATGTCTGACATTATACTCTTTCAACAAACAGTTGTTATTATTAAATTGTTTATTGTCTATCTCCTCTATTGGTTATCTTAAATTCTCTTGCTGGCACAAAATCTAATATATTAGAGTCAATAAATGTTTGTGTAATACTAAATAAATGCATGAATGAAATAATGAAATATTTACCATGTAACTGATCATTTTTAAAGGCATTTTTCCATTATAAATACAGAATAATTTGAGTTAAGTAACATTTCTCAAGACAAATAATACTCCATTATTTTTTATAAAATTCAGAAGTTAAAAAAAATTTTTTAATAAAATTTGAAAGTTTTTATGTTAAATTATTCAACAACAACAGCAAAAAAACAAACAAACAAAAAAATTCTTGTACATGTGTACTAGAAGGTATGTACAAAAATCTTCAAAGCAGAACTGGAACCAACCTAAATACCTACTGTCAGGAGAATTAATAATTGTGATATATTCGCCAACAGAATATTATATAGCTATACTTAACTACATGAAAGAATCTTAGAAAAATAATGTTGAAAGAAGAAAAGCAAGTCCCAATCTATATACAGTATATAATTTTTATAATGCTCAAAATAAGCAAAATAAAAAAATACATTGTATAGGCATATCTACTTAAGAGAAAAAATGTATTGAAATGATTCCACAAAAATGAGAAATTCAAAATTTAGGATAATGGTCACCTCTGAGAGAAAACAGAAGAATAGGTTGGGACAAGGGTTGCCAAATCTAGCCTGCCACCTGTTTTTGTATGGTCCATAAGCTAAGTGTAGTTTTTTACATTTTTAAATGGTGGAAAAAATGAAAATAAATATTTCATGACCACATGAAAATCATATGAAATTCAAATTTCATTGTGCATTAATAAACTTTTATTAGAACTCAACCTTGTTAATTCACTTACACAGTGTCTATGGTTATTTTTGTGCTACAATGTAGTTAGTAGTTATGACAGACACCTTATGGCTCTGAAAACCTGAATTATTTACTATTTGGTCCTTCACTGAAAAACATTTGCCAATCCCTACTGACCTTATATAGACTAAACTTCTTGTTAGTGTTTCACCTCCTAGGTATATTATTTTGCTTCATAATTTACACATATATTATGTATATTCTTTTCTATGTACCATTATATTTTAGAAGGATAATAAGGGAATAATTTTTAAAGAACTGAAAAAATAATCTTTTCAAATGAAGCAATTTAGTGTAACAGAACTAATTTACGATCAGGAGATTGTATAATAAGAGTCAGCAAACTATATAATCTTCAGCTGAAATCTAGTCTGCTGTCTGATTCTGTAAATAAAGTTTTAGTAGAACACAGCAACACCAACTTGTTTACCCTTTCACTACTATGGCAGGTTTGAGTAGTTACAACAGGACACCATATGGGTTGTAAAGCCTAAAATATTTACTATCTGCCCTTTTACAGAGAAGGCTTGCCTATCCCTGATCCACAAAATTATCGGGTCTACAAGTTTAACCTAAATTAAACAAATACTAACAGAGAATTTAAAAAGGAACAAACAGCATAGTCAAACAGTTGAAAGCATAATTTTAAAAGTCAGACACACGAGGCTTGGCTTGGATCCTGCTTGTGGACATACTATGTGATCTTCAGTAAAATGCTAATGACTCTGAGCCAGTTTTAAACCTGTAACTTTTGAATAAGAATTCTCATTCTAGAGAATTATAGTCAGGTTTAGATTCTCAGTAACTTTAGTTAATTTTTATTAATACTGTTCAGACAAAAACAAACCACTTGGGCTAAAGCTTTTCTTATTAGTTTCCCTAATCTGTATTTTTAAAAATTTCAGTGTTACCCAAACAGGGAAAATTCTGAATTACTACACAAGCATATGAAATCATTTGTAAAATCCATGATTTCTTTAAATTACGATTCAATCTACAACTTATTTCAATTCTAAATGCTTATGCACAGGTCAGAGACTTCAATTTCATTTACCATAGAAAAAATTTATGATTCATTAGAATTTCCCAAAGCAGTTAATAAGATGAACTGATCAAATCATTTAACTACAGCAGTTACCCAATTACAGAAGATTAATCTTTAGGATTCAGAACTTAATTTTAACTGTTTAGGTTTGTTTATTTATAATGTGATTTTTAAAAGTATTAGAAAACACATATTAGGTTTAATATATCTGTCACAATCTCTTTAAGATTGCTTCTCTTCATTAGCAAAATGGAAATTCTGTGAGTGGTTATTAGGATAAATCACTATGTAAATGTATATACATTTGCAAACCGCACAAACAAATCATGAATATTAATATTTATCAATAGATAAGTATTATGTGCTACCTTAAATTACTAATGTTGATGTATTTTTCTTCAAGAATCAGGGTTATTATATCCATCATTATAGTGTGCTATAGAAAGAGCTCAGCAGAGAAGCGAAAGTTGTCACAGCCCAAAAATACACAGTAATGACCATTATAAAATTAGTACCCACATATTATTCCATTCCCTCTTAACACCAGTTTCTATTCACATTCATCACATCAAAGTCTCTGTTGGTAAATCTCTTCCTGATTGTTGGATGTTGTAAATATCTGACAATATAACATACATTTAACACCAACTGACTGACAAAAATAAATTGCAAATCTTGCCAAAGATAAAGGATTTCATGAGGATGATGACAGTGATATTAGAAAATTGCTCAGATCACATGTAAAATCATCTACAAATACAACAGAATTAGAAAAGTGAATAAAAGAAAATTACGAAGAATTATGATGTTGGTCTTTCAAAATATTTTGGGTATTAAAAAATTAGGTAAAGTTTTCATTAACCAATGTCACCATAATAAATTTTTAAAAATTAAGTAAAGATCTTTGGAAAACTGCCAAAGTGTCTGCCAGTTTTGCATAAAATAGCTCTCTTTTATAATATAGTTATGAATGTAAAATATATAAAAACAAGAAGTGAATTAGTGTAATTAGTACAATTACATTAAACACACCAGTTAAAAGACAGAATTTATTAGAAAGGATTTAAAATTATCCACACAAACCAAGAGAGATTCACTACAAAAAAATCATTACAGGTAGATTAAAAGTAAAAGGATGGAAAAAGATATACCATTCAAACACTAACCAAAAGAAAGTTGGGATGGTTATATTAATATCAAAGAAAGCACACTTCAGAAGAAAAAAAAAATTGACAAGAATGTGACACAGAGACTCTAAGGTGGCCTCCATGATCCTTCCTCTTAAGATTTACATCCTTGTGTAATCCCCATCCTTTGAGTATGGGGAGGAGATGTGACTGCTTCTAACCAATAGAATGTAGCAAAGGTAATAGGATGTCATTCCTGTAATTTCAGCAATATTATATTATATATCATTCTGTTTTGCTAGCACACTCCCACCATAGGCTACCCTTGCTCAGTGAAGTACGTAGACATGTAGATAAGTCCATGTGGCAAGGAACTTCAGGCAGTCTCTAGAAACTGAGGGAAACCTCTGGCCAACAGCCAGCAAGTAGTTGGGACCCTCATTCATCAAGCCAGAAGGAAATGAACTGTCTCACCAACATGAATGAGTTTGTAAGTAAATCCTTCCTGAACTGGGTCTCCAGCCAAGTAAGACCTTACGAAGAGGACCTAGCTAAGCTGTGCCAAGACTTCTAACCCACAGAAACCATAGGTAATAAATGTCTGTTGTTAAAAGCCACTAGGTTGTGGTAATTTGTTATACTGCAAAAGAAAACTAATACAAGAAATAAAAAAAGAAATCACACACACAGACACACAAACAACCCTCAAAACTCTAAATGAACTCTTAAAAAAAAAAAAAGGAAATATTTGACAACTGCAAGGATAAATAGACAAATTCACAATTATATTTGCAGACTCTGACACTCCTACCCCAGTATCAAACAGAACATAGACAGAATTTCAGCAGGGATCAGGAAGTACTGAAAAACGCCATCCATTAAGAGGATCTAATAGCAACTTATATAATACTCCATCTAACAAAAGCAGAATACACATTCTTTTCAGGTGCATAAAGAACATTCATGAAAGATAGATCATCTTTGATCAAAGTACGAACCCTAACAAATATAAAAGGACTGAATGAAATTCTATGTTCTCTGATGTATGTTCTCTGACTATAATAAAATAAAACAAGAAAACAATAACAGAAAATAGGAAAATGTGAAAACACTTGAAAATTAAACAATGCACTTTCTAAGTAATATATGCACCAAAGAGGATGCTTCAAAAGAAATAAGAATATATTTTGAACTGAATGAAAATGAAAACATAACATAGCAAAATTTGTGGGAGTGAACTAAAGCAGGGCTTAGAGGGAAATTTATAGAATGAAATACCAGTATTAGTAAAGAAAGAAGGTCTCTACTATCTCAGCTTCGACCTTAAAAGACTAGAAAAGAGCAAAACAGATATCAAAGGAAAATAACACTGACAATGTACTAATGCCACTAAATTATATATTTTAAAATGGTTAAGACAGTAAATTTTATATTATGTGTATTTTACCATAATAAAAACCTAAAGGTAAAAAGTAAAACTATAAAAAAATTTTAAAGAAAAAAATAGGAGAAAATCTTTGTGACTGTTGGATAGGCACAGAGTTCTTAGACATGACACCAAAGCAAAATCCATAAAGAAAACTGACAAATTGAACTTCATCAAAGTTAATACCTTTGCTTTCCAAAAAATACTAAAAGAATGATAATTCAAGCTGAAAACTTGAAAAAAACATTGGCAAATCACTTATCCAATAAAAGACTTGTATCTAAAATATAACGAACTCTTAAAGCTAAACAATAAACACCAAATGGACAAAGTACTTAAAGAGATCCTTCTTTAAAGAGGTTATAGGGATGACAAGTACATGAAAAGTCATTCACATCATTAACACTAAGAGAAATGCCAATTAAACCACAATAAGATACCCCTATACATGGATTAGAAGGCTAAAATAAAAAATACTGACAATACCAAATGCTGATGAGGCTGTGAAGCAAATGGAACTCTCATATATTGTTGATAAGAATACAAAATGGTACAAGTTCTTTGAAAAATGATTGACATTTTTTTAAATCAAGTTAAATATACACTTACCATACGATCAAGCAAACCCACTCCTGGGTATTTACCCTAGAAAAATAAAAACACTCATACAAAAACTTGTAAATGAATGATCAAAGCAGCACTATTCAACAACCCAATGCCCTTCAACGGATGAACAAATAAACTAATTGCAGCATATCCATACAATGGAATACTGTCTGTTACAAGTCATTGAGTTGGCTCTGACTTCTGGCTACCTTATGAATGAGTGACCGAATGGCCTCTTTTATGGAGTCAATCTATCTCATATTTGGTCTTTCTCTTTTCCTGCTGCCTTCTATTTTTTCCCAGGATTGTTGTCTTTTCCAAAGAATCCTGCCTTCTCATGATGTGCTCAATACAGGATAACTTCTGTTTTGTTATATTTGCCTTCAGCAATGTTTCCGGCTTAATTTGCTCTAGGGCTCACTTTGTTCCTCCTTCTGGTGGTCCAGGGTATCCACAGAGCTTTCCTCCAACATGATAATTCAAATGAATCAATTTTTTTCCTCTCAGCCTTCTTCACTGTCCAACTATTATATCCATACACAGCAATTGGGAATACAAGGATCTAGATGATCTCAGCCTTGGTCTCTAATGACATATCTTTGCTCTTAGTAATTCTTCCATTGCTGCCCTTCTACATCTCAGCTTTTTCTTCATTTTGGCTGCAGTCTCCATTAGAACTGATGACTGAAGCAAAGTATTTAACCTTTTTGATATCTCCACTGTCTATGTTAAAGTTGTATATTTCTTTGTACAATCATGATTTTTCCTTTGTACATTTCATGATTTTTGCCTTCTTGATGTTCAAATACAGTCCTACTTTGGCACGTTCTTCTTTCATTTTCATCAGAAGTCATTTCCAATCATTGTTATTTTCTGCTAGAAAGATGGTGTCATCTGTGGATCTTAAGTTATTGATATTTCCTCCACCAATTTTCACTCCTCTTTCCTCTGAGTCTAGCCCAGTTTATAGTATATGTTCTGCATATAGATTAAATAAATAGGGAGATAAAATGTACCCTTGTCTATCGCTTTTGCCTATAGGAAACCATTCTGTCTCTCCATATTGTGTTGTGACAGTGGTTTCCTGTCACAATACAAGTTATGCATTAGGACAATCAAGTGCTAAGGGAAGACCCTTTCTTTCTGAGCAATTGATAGTTTTTCAAGATCCAGGCAGTTAAAGGCTTTATTGTAGTCTATAACACACAGACTAACCTTCTGAAATTGTATGGAGTACTCCAGTATGCAACGAATGTTTGTGATTAGATCTCAAGTGTCTCTTCTTTTTCTGAATTCAGCTTGAACATCTGGCATTTCTCGCTCCATATAAGGTAAAAGAAATCTTTGTGGCATCACCTTGAGCATCACTTTGTGTAGGAAATAAGAGCAATGATCTTATAATTTTTGCTTTCCTTGACATCTTCTTTCTTAAAAATTGAGATATATACTGAACATTTCTAGCCTGTAGGCCACTGTTTTGTTTACCATATTTGTTTCCATATAGGATTTTGACAGATTCAGTCTCTGACAGTCTCTGTAGCATGAAACAATGGATTACTACTAACCAATAAAAGCAACCAAAAAACTACTGATACGTGCAACAACTTTGCTTGAATATCATTAAGGTGAACGAAAGAAGCTAATTGCAAAAGGTTATAAACCATTATGCAAATGTACACATACATATAATGTAAGACATTCTTGAAAAGAGAAAGCTACAGTAATGAAGAATAGATCAGCGGTTGTCAGGGTGTTAGGGGTTGAGGGAGAGCATGACTATACTGAGAAAGAACATAAAAAGTTTTTGGGATGATGAAATTGTATCTTGATTGTGGCAGTGATTACATGAATTTATATATGTGTTAAAATTCATAGAACTGGAAAGAAAATGAAGTTAAATCTTCCTGTACAATAATTTTAAAAATAAAAAGAAATTTTTAGAAAAATGAAGTGCCAATGCAACATCTAGGAACAATGTTCAGAAGGCAGCTAGGTAAAAGTTAGGAGAGTAGTCTGAGTAACTGAAAAAGGTTTTGAAGTCATCAGTCCCTGGTAGAATAAGTGAGATCATCCCAAGATATTATTTACAGTGAGAAAATAACCAAGAATAGAACTCCAGAAAATACAGACATTTAAAGACAAGAATCCTATAAGAGAAGATATTAAGAAATAGTAATCAGAGAAGTAAAGAATAAAGAAATTTGAAGTAGGAGCTCATAAGATCAAATGTCACAGAAAGGTCAAGTAAGTTAAAGATTTAAAATATTCATTATATTTGGAAAGATGGATATTGGTGACATGTTTTTCAATATGACTATGTGGTGATAAGCTGTGTACATGAATGGAAAACTGAATAGTAGGTAAGCAACCAGAGACAGCAGATGCTTCATTCATTTGAGGCGTCTGGTTATAAAGAGGAAGAAAAGGACAGGACAGTGACTACAGAGGAATGTGAGAAACATAAATATATTTATAGGCTATCAGGGGGTACTAGTAAAGAAGGAAAGTTCAGAAAAGAGAGGAAACAATTGAAGGTCCTTAAGTAAACAGAACTGCATAGAAGAAAAGGAAACAAAAGTGTGAGGTATTTAATATCTCTATACCTCAGTAAGATGTAAAATGGAAATAAAACAGAATGTACCTCGGGGCGCTATTGTGAGAATTAACTGAGTTAATATAGGCAAAGAACTTAGAACTATGCCTGACATTTAGTAAGCACCCAATAAATGATGAATGTTAACAATTATCAGTATTATAATTATCAAATTGGATGAAATGAGAAAGATTACTTTTGAACAGAGAAAGTTATGTCCTATGAGACTGGAGAAAATAAAGAAAGATTGGGTACTATGATGAATAAATTATAAGTATGGAGGCAGAAAAGCTGAGGAAATGTGAGTTTATTAAGCTTAATTTTCTCTGTAAAGTAATGATTACCTTTAAAGAGAATGAAGGACAAAATCATTGTGGAAAATTCCCACTGTGGGCAATGGGAGAAGCTTTTGACCATGAAGATACAAAAAGATTACTGAGTAGGACTGACGGCTTGGCAGAAACCAGAGACCATATACTGATCTGATATTAATCATCATAGCTTTAATTTTCCCCAGCAGTGTTCAGAAGCTTGAATATAAAAATGGTCACTAGTTAAGTTACACATAATAAGGAGGGATATATCTACTCAGTTAAAGGGCTACCTAGGGAAGATAGGCTAGTCAATTATAACGGTATTCATATAAATGAGTAAATTTAATTTTCAGGCTATTCTGATGAGTTTAAAGACATCTCTTTTGGAAACTACACAGATATCCATCAACAGAGAAATGAATAAATAAATTGTGATACATCCATACAAGGAAATATGACTCAAGAATAAAAAAGAACAGACATTGATACACATCAGCCTGAAAAAGTTATATACTGTATGATTGATAAGTTTACATGAAATTCTAGAAAAGATAACACTATCTAGTACAGGAAGCAGATCAGTGGTTGCCTACAGTTAGTGGCAGACTGATTGTAAAGGGGTGCAAGGAATTCCTCCCAATTTTATTGATATATAATTGACATACGACATTGTATTAGTTTAAGGTTTTAGAGTACATGTATATGTCGAGAAATGATTAACACTGTAAGTTTAGTTAATATGCATCATCTCACATAGTTACAAATGTTTTTTTTTCTTGTGGTGAGACAAAGAAATTTAAGAAATGATGGAATAGTGCTATTCCATGATTGTAGCAGTGGTTAAATTACTATATACATTTGTCAATCATATTGCGACATATGCTTAACGTTGATGAATTTCATTGTATCATATCATATCTTAATAAAACCAATTTTTTAAAAAAGTTCTTGTTTGGAGACCTGGGTATGTTCCACTATCATGTATGTTGCTACAGACAGCACTTAAAAGTAGCTCTTTCACCTTGCCTAGTCTACTGTCCCTAAATGTAGTCCCTAGAATTATAGACAAAGGGAGGGTGGTAGGCAGAATTTTAAGAAGACTCCCAAAGTTTCTTGCCATTCGTCCACATTCAACATGTTTACAAACCCTTCATAATCTCCAGGACTGTTGATAAGATGGATTTGACCCCCCATAATTATGTTATGTTAAATGGGATGACTGACATTAAAATAATGGGATTTTCCAGTGGGCCTGACCAAATCACATGAGCTTTTTAAAAGCAGAGTTTTCTCTTGCTGGTTGAAAAGTTATAGTCAGGAGTTTGAAACATGAGAGGAATTTGATACATGGAAAGTTCTTTGTTGCTGACATAAAGGAGGCCACCTGCAAAGACCTAAGAGTGGCCTCAGAATTTAGAGTGGTCCCAGTCAAAAGCTAGTCAGACAATAGAGACCTTAGTCCTACAGCAGCAAGGAAGTGAATCCTACTAACACTCTGAGGAAGCACTGAAGAAGATCTTGCCCTGGTTGAGCCTGCAGATGAGGATACCTTGAGTTCAGCTTTATGAGACCACCAACAGAAGACCCAGTTAAAACTTGCCAGATTCTTGACCCACAGAAACTGTGAGCAATAAATTTGTGTTGCTTTAAGCCACTAAATTTATGGTAATTTGTTATATAGCAACAGAAAACTAATAGAGGCATATTTTAAATAGTACCTCTACCTCATCATTAAAAAGTTACAGTTTAGAACTTAAAATGTGTGAGGCATTTTATACTTCCCACAGTTAACCTCAGCCCTCAGTTCTATTCACTGGCTCACATTACTAGTGTATATATTCAGCATTAAATTATAAATTACTCTAGATAAACTATGTCTAATTAAGCTTTAATTAGGTTACTTTTAATTAACTAACCTATCACCAACAAAGTTTTTTTTAAAAAAACTGCCCTGTTGTTAAATTAGTGAATAAAACAAGTAATATATGATGCACATACCCAAATATACTAAAAAACAGAAATTCTTCACTCTAGCCACATCTTTCTAAAGCAAAGTTTTATGTATACATTTAGTCATCTAGGGAATAAAGAAATTCTACACAGTTTAACAAAATTAATCTTGGAAACTCATAAAAAATCACTGTCAAGATGCACTGCTGATCTGTACTGCATATTTTTTTGAATGATAACACAACGAAATGAAAATACTAATTTCTGATTGCAAGATGGCAGAGTGACACTGTAGCCTATCCCCTTACAAAATCCTAGAATAGAGAAGTGGTCATTTTAAATGAATACATATCAGCACTCAAGAACAAGCAAAGCTCTTGGTAGTCTCAAGAACAGAAGAAATCCAGAGATAAGTACACAAAATCAGTTTAAAGTAAGAAGCTTTACAAGCAAAAGCATGTCAGAAAGACAAATACCACAGAAGGTATGAGCAACGCAAAGCACATTCTAAGGCATGGTGGAAGCTAAGAGCATAAGAAGGCCTAATAGCAAACAACAGTGGTTACAATAAGAGGGTCACCTCCAGCACGCTATCTATCTCTACAAAGCAGAGTCAGTTCCCTTCAGATAGAAGAGATAAGAAAGAACTTAAGAGTGAAAAGATAGGCCAATGATCTGGATAACTGGTACTACCTAGGAAAAATGAGAAACTTGTAAGTTCAGAAAATAAGGTCTCAAGGTATTTGCTTGGCAGAATAGCAATATGTCCTAGCCATCCTCTACTCTCACTGAAAATGGTGCAGAGGGACAGATCGGTAGAGACCTGTCTCCCATCTTGTCGAGTGATCAAACAAAGGCAATGAATAATAAAATAGACACTCCCAAACATAAACACATCATCAAGAACACCAAACAGTTGAGGAATGCCAACACTATGAAATAGATAACAGTTAAAAATGGAAGAAACCGAGGTAACATAAGCAATAGCACACTAAGAACAAGATTTTACAATAACTTTGGTATCAGAGAAATGAGAACACGATCAAGGAGTTTTAGGGGAAAAATAACTAGAATTGATGGACATGAAGATACAAGTTTCTAAAATTATAAGAAACTCATTACATGGGCTGATTAGCAGCAGAGTAGACAAAAATGAATATATTAGTGAGCTGAAATTCAGGCCTAGGAATCCTTCAAAACAGTAAAAAAGAAGATTAAAAAAGAATGATGTAAGAGTACAGAAAGAAGGATATTTGATGCAGAGGTTTCAATCTGTCTAGTGGAGTTCTCTTAAGGAGAAAAAGAAGCAGCAGTGTTTGAAGAAATATTGAGAATATACCAAAACTGAAGATAAGTACTCATGTTCAAAGTATCCAGTTAGAGCCTGAGTTAAGTCAATAAAAAAACCCTGAGAAATATTCAAGTGAAATTTTCAGAACATCAAGGATAGAAAAATAGTCCTAAAAGCTATCAAAGAGAAAATAAAAATCCCTTAGAAAGAAACATTAATCAGAACATCGCATGTCTTATTAGTAACAAAAAAAGAAGATAAGGCAGTATCTTCACAGTGGTATCGAAAAGAATTTCAAACTTATATTTCTTTATCCAGCCAAGTTATTATTTAAAATTTTCAACTGTAGCCATGATGGAGTAACTGGGACTAGATCTACTCTCCTACCTTGAACAACTAAAAGTCTGAATAAAATAAATGAAACAATGGTTTATCAAACACTAGACAACAGGCAGCACAGGACAGTGATCTTTGAGAGATAGTAACAAGTGAGGTCAGCCCAGTAACTGTCCAACTTACTGCCTGGCAAGAGTTTCCAGTGTGTAGCATGGGTCCCCAAACAGAACTGAGCAGTTTCCCTGAGCTCAGAAAACAGCAATCAGAGCTTGGGAAGTTGAAGATCACTAAAATTTGTAGGACAAAGTACCAAAGGAGAGTTGCATAGATAGTATAGTAGAGGGTATCCGCTGAGTGTTTTCTCTGAGTCTCCTGATGAATGACAAGCAGCATAATATCAAAAATACCTCAGGATCACTTAGGGCTGGGGATATTTCATTCTTCCAACAGTCATGGTAGAAAGACTTCCATATCAACAGGTTCTGCCTCAGCAATGGGCCAAATTAGTTCTAGGCTAAAGGCTATTCTGGACCTGCCTAGTAAAGCTTAAAAGTAGGCCTCGAAAGACTCAAACTATTTCCAAGTAACTTAAAACTGCATCCCAGAATAAAAATCTGACATATTTAATTACCCCTCCCCGCCCCCCGCCAAAAAATATAAAATAAAATCCACAATGCCTGGTATCCAATTACTAATTACCAGGTATATAAAGAAGCAAAAAAAGATGACCCAATTGAGGAGAAAAATCAATCGGCAAACACAGATTCAGAAATGACAAAGATACCAGAATTAGTAGATAAGGTCATTAAAACAGCTGTTATAATTATATTCCATATGTTTAAGAAGGTAGAGAAAAGCATAAGTATTATAAAGAGAAAGTTTGAAAGTATAAAGATGATCTAAATAAACTTTAACACAGAAAAAAGACTAAAAATAAACAAACAGAACATCAGTTAGCTGTTGAGGGAGCATCACATGGCCTAATATATGTGTGCTGAACATCCTAGAAGGAAAAAGAGAGAGGAGAACAAAAAAACACTTTTTGAAGAAATAATGGCTGAAATTTTATAAATTTGATAAAAATTATAAACCTTCAGATCTGAGAAGCTCAAAGAACTCCAAAATAAACACAAAGAAGACTACACCAAGTACAGAGTAAACAAATCACTTTTAGCAATGAAAAAATAATGTTAGAAACAAAGTTAAAAGCTATCAGAGAAAAAAAATGATATATAGAGGAAAAAGATAAGAATGACAGCAGTTTTCTTGTCAGGAACAGACATACCAGGAGATAAGTGGAGACGTATCATTTAAGCACTGAAAGAAAAAAAACAACTTTCAACCTATAATACTATACCCAGAAAAAATTTTTCGAAAAAAGCAAAATGCTTTTTCAGACATACAAATGCTAAGCAAATTTGCCAACACACCACCACTACATATTATCATTTAACAGCGAGGACAATAAGGACATTTACCAGAAAATTTTGGAATGTTTCTCTCCAAAAGGATTACCAGAAAGTATTCTCCAGCACGAAGAAAAATAAACTGAGGAGAAATTAGTATGATGTAAGGAATAATGATGAGGAAAGAAATCTATAAATCTTGATAATTCTAGTAATTGCTTTAAAATAAGTTAAATTAAAATCTATAACTAAAATTCCAGATGCTATTAACATGGGAGGTATGAGTTAAAGGAGAATGCCGGAGGTTTTCTACTATCTACAGGAAGGATACAAACACAGATTAATTCCAGATTTAGAAAAGTAAAAACTGATCTGTGTTAAAAATATAAAGGGTAACCATTAAAAAATCTAGCTATCTTTCTATGACATTATTTCAAAGAAAAAAATATCCTAAATTGTAATAATTACATTAACTCACAAAGATATCACTTATGAACTTGTGTAGATATAAGTCTAATCAAAATATATTACCACATAATTGACCTATTTCCTATGTGAGCACGATGCTTTATGCGGTGCTGAGCTAATAGAAAAAAAATATCAGTTGTTCTGTGGACAAAAGGTCAAAAAGCAGTTGTGCACTTCTATAAGTCAAAACTATTAAGAGTTTTAACTATTGAAATGATTATCTAAAAACTGTTAATATTTTCTTGGATACGTGACTTAATTTAGTTAACTGGCATAATTAGAGGCTTTAATACACACTTTGTTTCTAATTTGCTTTAAAGTAAATGTGTAATTACTCATATATTTATCCAAATGTTTATTTCTCATTTTTCTTTAAATTCTCTGCTACTTGAACTTAAAAGCATTTAAAAACCAAAAGCATATGGGGTGGGGGGTGGGGAGAATGAGCAATGTAGGAACTTATTTATTCAATATAAATATCTTGATTGCCATACCTACTCCAACTCTTTTTAAAGGAAAGATACAGCTGTGGACTTACTTCCAATGAACAAAACCAACAAGAAAATTTTACCCTTGATATAAAAGATTTAAATAAGTCAAAATACATCACAATTTTATACTCTAAATGTTTAGAGTAAATGTTTGGAAAAGATTACAGTTCTTTTCACTTATACCTACCTTATTCCAGACCTTTGCTTTGAATACAATTATGTTCAAAAACCTCAAAAAAAAAAAAAAAAAATCATACCATGTGCCCTTCGGCTCGAGCTTTGTTCTGCCTCGCTTCCTGTTTTCGCTGTAAGAATTCTTCCACTTGTTTAGCTCTTTCCATAGCTAGCTGCCCCTTTTGCCTAAGTAATGTGGAAAAGAGCAAAGTCAGAAATTTTGAACATTAAATATTCCAAAAAGTTACAAATTATACTTATTCTAAATACTTTCTTTGTTACAGAATAAGAAGGCTGATATGAAATAAAATATTCCTCTGGAATAAAGAATTACCTACATATATATTAGTATTTACTACCTAAATCAAATTCTTTGCTATTTTAAATACTAGTAAAATCTATGCTTCTATTCCAATCTGAACAAGAAGGTTACCCATACATTTATTTACTCTATTATACTTATAGATACATAAAATTATTTTAGACTAAATTACAGAAGAATCTCAATAGCTTCCAAGGAGTTAAGCTTATTTCAGAACTTTGTATAAAATATATCTAAGATTCTTCTTTAATCAGTATTGAAGTAAAATTGAAGCAGTATAATAGCAATTTCAAAAATGAACAAAACAAAAAGTTTGTGAAATTTCAAAATTACAGTAAAAAGCAATGTCTGAATTCCTTGAATATTAAAACTATTAAAAAGTAAAATAGATACATTAGGTGAAAATTAATAGCTCAATTACTTCTTTTAATCTTTTCCAGTTATATTTCTGTATCTTTCACTGACAATTATGAACGGACGTAAATGTGATTCTAGACTAAAAGTAAAAAATATTAATAACAAACTTTTATTGAACATCTTTACATATATTGGTCCTATTAACACACTAAGTATAGGAGACACAAAAATAAATACAAGCCAGCCCCAGTAATCACAGAACTCATAGTATAGTATCAACTGCAGTTAATTTTGGAGGTAAAGAACAAAGATGAGCAAGTTACTGCCTGTGCTTCTACTTGGATTTTGGCTACTAAGGCACACAGATTTCTTACAGCCCTTCTTTCGGACCTAAGCTGTGCTCTAAAAAATACATGAAATAAATGCCTTTTGTCTTCCAGTAGGTTTAAACACTTCCTATTTTTATGTCTCAATCATTTCTTTTACATGTTTTACTAACCACTAACTGGGACATAAAAATATTTTAGAAAGGAAATTAAGCTGTAAAAACTTAAAATCTATTTCACCACAAAGCTATGAATGATTGTGGCCTAAGGTTTATTTACCTTTACCTTATGTGACACTTAAAAAATTCTTGTTAAATTTCCATCATTGGAATTTTCTAGGATTAGGTAAATCTCTATAGCTGGTTAAGAGCTTTTAATATAACTCACAGATATGTCTAGGTAGCTAAATCTGAATCTAGTTCACATCACCAAATTCAGAAATGCATTCCAGTCAAGCCATGGTAGCTTGAGTAAATCAAGGATAATGAACAAGAAATTTGTTTATGCCTCGGTAGTGCACATGTGCTATCCTCAACTAGTCATATTCTGTACTGCATAATTCTGAGATTAATAAAGTACATCTGGACTGGATGTAACATATGTCCTTCATATATCCAAGCAAGGCTATATTCTGATCTGTTAGAGCCCCATTTATATAAAGCTGGGTCTGAAAAGGGCAGACAAACTTTCAGAGGGTACAATGCTCAGATATGTCATCTGTAACTATATGTCTACTGGTAAGGCTCTTTTGGAGGGTCCTAGAAGCTTATACCACCATCTATAATTAGATAAAATTCCAATCTCTCTGCTGTGTGTCCTGATTGTATCGACTTCCTTCTCTAACCTTTATAGAAGTAGCATGTGCTAGATTTCCCATCCTAAGATATTATGTCCAATGTCTGTCAGTCTGAACCTCCAATTAACATGTTAATACAACAGTTGCACAAAATTATGTTACTAAAAACCTGTTCATAGTATAACTGCTTTGAAATACAGATTTTTCACACCATTTATGTATACATAACACTACCTGTTCTATTCATTTATATTATCTTTAAGTTTTGCTTCACCGAACAGCTTTTTCCTAAGCTGGCTTAAATAAGCCAGTTTACATAACTGGCTGCTTTCAATCACCAGCTTAAAACAAGTAGCAATTTTTGCTTAACATTATTTCTTTATTCCTCTATTAAACAAATACTGAGTGCCAACTATTTGACAATATTTATTCCCATCTTCGAAAATATAAAGATGTATAAAATAGAGTTCTGGGAATGCGAGGTTGGTTGGTTCAACATACTAAAATCAATTGGAGTAATATACCTTATTAATAGAATAAAGGAAAAAATTAGTTTGATTCTATGACTTCTTATAATATGTAAAAAAAAAAAAAAACCCTATAAACTGTTTATTTTTTTTGTGCATTTCTGTTTACTACTTCATAGTTATCAAAAAGAAGAACCCATACTCATATTTTTATTTCTCTCTCAAGTAGCAAAACTGTGCTAAACTGTGGGTACAAACTATCAAGCTAGGCTCATGGGGGTAAGAGGAAATAGTCGATTTATTTCTTAAGAGTCATTCTCTTCATTAAACATTGTTAATTCATATGTACTTATTCTGTTTAATGCAAATTAAACAGAATATATTTTTGAGTTCCAAAACTATACAACTTAAAGTCAGTAAAACATAAACCCTATATATAGTAAGAAATTAGGAATTTGGAAAGTAAAATACAGAAACATTAGAATGGGTTAAAAAGAAATAATTATTCTAAGACAAACTTTTTTTCATCTTGACAAGAGGAAAAAAAGGAATTATTTTCTTTCCTTTTCTTATTACAAATGCATAAATAAGTGGCAAAATTTGGGTAGGGTACCTCATATCCATGGCTCAAATCCTTTTCTGATAAAGGAAATTTAAAATTTTTGAAGGATGACTATAAATAAATTATTTTAAGAGGTGAAAACATAAACATAGGCAGAGACCTAGATAGCAGAAATAATCTGAGAAATGAAAAATTAGTTGACATGGTTTAAAGTAGAAGAGGTGGGAAGTATAGAGTTAATGAGATGAAAAATGGATATAGAGGGTTTATTCATTAAGCTTCTTCCTCTGTTTAAGTGGCATAATGTCTAGCTGATAGAATGAAACTGTTGTCAGCTTTATACAAATTAAATGAAATTATATAGAGAAAATGACTTGGAAAAGCAAAAGCACTGCAAAACACAAATATTACAAGGCACTCAATAGTTTTATAAAATGGTCTTAGATGGCTGAAGTTCTAATATTAAAATGCGAATTGAATGTAAGTTCACCAGTTATAACAAACGTACCACTCTGGTGGGGATAATGAAGAAGGCTATGTATGATTTTGGACAGGGATAATATATGGGATATCTCTATACTTTCTCACTCAAGTTTGCTGTGAACCTAAAACTGCTATAAAAAAAAAAAAAGTCTTAAAAAAAAAGCTAACTGAAGAGGTGAGTTAAGATATGGATATAAATAAAGTTGAACTGGCCAGAGTTCCTGATTAGAAGAGAAGAGAAAAAATAATACCATAAATAAGGAAGAGGCAGATGTGGGTGATCCAAAATAGGAGGAAAAGAGAATGTGAAAGTGTTAGATAACTATAGGTTAGTGTGCTGATTCAGTTTGAAACAGGGAAGAGAACTGATCAGGAATGACAATGACATATAGACTACAGTATCACTTGGTATCCATGGGAGATTGGTTCAAAGACCACCAGAACTCTCTCTCCACTGCAGATAACAAAATCCCTGGATGCTCCAGTTTCTTCTATCAAATGGCATAAGACAATGCATCCAGTCAGCCCTCCACATTCATGGATTCCCAAATGCAGACTGGAAATACTGTTTTTGACTAAAGGTTGGTTGAGTACACAGATGCAAAACCTGGGGATACACAGGGCTACTGTATTTATTGAAAAAAGTCCACATATAAGTGGACCCACAGAGTTCAAACCTGTGTTATTCAAGGGCCAACTGTATATAAAAGTTCATTCAGCATCTAGTATCATGTTTAATTCTTAAAGTACCCAATATTTTAAAATTTTATAACCAACTAAATCAATAACTTATTAGCCTGTTCACTAGTACTATCTCAAGAAGCTGAGAAATCTTCCTAACAGAGTATTTAAGGAGCTGAACTCTACAGTCAGATAGACTTAGTTTAAATCCCAGGTCTATCACTTACTAGCTGCCTGACCATGCACAAGTTTTAAATCTCTGTAAGTCCTAAAATCTCCATTGTTATTTAAAAAGTAATATCTAATTCAAAAGGTTGCTGTGATGAAACAATACAATTTGGTATATAATAAGTATTCAATAAATAATATCTATCATCAGAACAAGAAGAGCAATAACTTCAATGCAACGTAAGAAAGTGTATATACTATGCTTGAGTATTGCTAAGCCCACCAAAGTCGACAAAAATAAAATGATAAATGATCTTACAACCACAAATAGTTTAAAAACTGAAAATTAAAATAGGGAAACTCTATCTGATGCTCAAAAACTGAAAGGAAGGTGTGGTATAGTAGAAGAGGTAACTGAGATACACAGTCATTTAAAACAATCTGAAATTCAGGTAAAAATTTATGCAAACATTTCAAGGTTATAATAGGAGATTAATGTAAATGGCCCAAAGCAGTCCATTATTTGTCATTCTAGGTGTGAAGAACTAAGAAACATTCTGGAAGATGAACAATAGGAAAAAACATAACAGTTTTCCTATTTTCTTCATACCATACTCATTTTAGATTTGATTAAAATAAAACAAAATAAGGCCAAACCAATTATTTACTACAAAGATCAATAACACCAGAAGGTAAAAACCACACATAAATTTGCTTTGCCATCTCATAAAAGTATGGATATGTGTGAGTCTGTATAGCCTTCCTTTCTCAAAAATGGAGAAAATAAACAATTAGCTTAACACTTCAGGCAACTGTGTATAATTAATAATGCTAATTTATATTCAACTCAATTATTTACTTCTGCTCAAATACCTTTTGATCATCTTTTATAATTGGGGGGATCATAAAGATTTTTATCATACTCAAAAGTATTCCCTTTAAAATGACAAGGAAAAGGCAATGCAACTAAACTTTCACAAAATGATATTCTGATAACCAGAACGTTTTACAGAAGAAAAGGGAACGTCTAAGAAAACGTGTATGCATATTTAAGAAAAAAGGAATTATGCAAATTAAAACTATTGATAGCTATCATACCAAATGAATGCGATGGAAGAAAAGAAAAATTCTGATGAACAGGACCATAGAGAACCATGATTTAGAGATGTATGTGAAGAGAAAACAAATCAAAATAGACAGAAAAGGGTTCTAGGTGACGAGGAAAAGGAAAACAAAGAAGCATGCTTTGTAGTTCTGCATAAAGTGTGATTCCCTTTAAACATATTCTGATTTATTTAAAGAAACTGGATGATGAAGTTATTAAAACTATGTTAGCTCAAAGTTATCACACGTTCCTTTAAATAGTGCATTCAGACTATCACATATAAGCTATAAAAATTTGGCTAAATTGAAGAGCTATATTTTTGTTACATTTAATCAAGGGCCAAATTTGCACAAATAGTCTATGTAATCAATGGAGAAAACAGAGTGTAGATACTGAGCTAGACATGACATAGGACAAAATTATACACAAGGATAAATTTACAGATCATCACAGTCCAACCTGTTTTCATTGGGTTGTTTAGGCAGAGCCCTCAATCTTTTCAAAGTTTTTCTAACAGCATCAGCATCCTGGAAATAGTGATGACCTGCTGCCCCGTTAGGTAATCCTGGATATATTCCAGGTGAAATTCCTCTGTAGATAAATATGCATAATAACTTTTGTTACTTTCTCTGAAGCAAAGCATAAATAACTTCTGCAGAACATGTCCATACCTCTCTGGAAGCCTTCGGCCACGTATTTCTCCTTTCCATTTAGCTTCATTATCTTCTGCTCTTTGTCGCTGCATTTGATCAAAAATAGCATGATAATGTTCATATTGTCCTCGAGAAGGAAATGATGGAGCCACAGCCCCTCCACCACCAAAAAAGGTAGCCTAGGAATTAAACAAAGAGCTCTCACATGTTTATCTCATAATGCCTAAAAGACCTGTACTACTTGAAAGAAAAAATTTCAACACTTGACGTTTAAAAAGGAATTAAAGTTGAATATATTAATAAACATATAGCCTAAAGCAAAATGTCTCTCTACTATATTATAACCATTAATAATCAAAATAGTATATGTTGTTACTAACAATAAAGCATAATTGAATGTAACAAACAAAAATATAAAATGTCACTTAAATCATGTAAATATGGAAATATCTGGTCTTAGCAGGTTTTGAAACAAGTTTCTAATATACATTTTATGTGATGCCATTCTATTCAGTTTAAATATGTATCACTTTTAAGTAAAACAGAGGTCACTTGTGTATCGCTCAAAGCTCTATTTAACAAAATCATCTGCATATGATATTTAATATACTCCAAATCCTTCAACAAGCAATGAAGAGATAAACATCATTGAAACAAACTCTAGGTGTAAATAAAGCAGCAAAACATATCTATCCTTAAGCAGCTTACAAACAGCTTGGAAAACAAAGCACAAAACTAGAAAAACATTTCATACCTGTGACAAATGAATGGTAATAGGCACATTCTAAAGCAGTAAGTACTGAGCAAATTCACAAAACAGAAAAAAATTTCCAGAAGTAAAAATCCCTAAAGATAATTTTTTTTAAAAAGCACTAAAGAAAGAAATGTAAAAAACAAAGATTAAATGATTAACTATGAGCCAGGGTATTAAAGCAAAAATAAGCAATTTAAGTATATATTTGGGTGTTGCCAGTAGAGGGAGGAAGAAAGATTAATATAATTGGAAGGAAGGCAAATAGGAACCATTAAGCTTGGTCATAAAATATTGGTGTAAGTAACAGCTATTAAGCCTGGGTATTTATAATAAACAACAGAAATAAAGCATTTATAAACTTTCTAGTAGGAATAGCATACCAAAAGAGTTTTTAAGAAGGTCAATAAGTCAAATTATGCAAGATAAGCAGGAATAAATGAGCGAATAAGGTAGAAGAATTAGAAGGCTTGTTGCCCTGATACCAAGCCAAGAAGCCTAGAATGCTGAAGGGAGTAGTGGGTTCTCCGAGGGAATGACAAAGGATAAAGGCAAAGACAATAAGGATACAACCTCAGAGACATAAGAACTCAAGTGCATAGAAAACTCACATGTAGAAATTAGAGATGTCAGAAAAGGGTAAGAGTTAAAAAGAAATAAGTGTATAACGTTACAGAAGTCATGGTGGAAGAATTTCAATGAGATGAGGAAATCGATGATCTCAAATGCAAAGGTCAAAGCACCGAAAATAAGACAAACTGATAGGACTGAAGTTGAGGGGTAGTGTTCAAAAAGCCTGTTTTTTTGTGAAATGATGAGAACAGAAGCCAGAATACCGACAGTAAAGGAAGAAGAGCTTCTAAGTGATAACAACTTAAGAAACAAAGAAGTCTGGCTAAGAAAAGATACTACGTACCTATCTATCTATCTATCTGTACATATATGTACTATATGTATGTACATATAAAAGATACTATATATATATATACACACACACACATATATATCAAAAAAATTTTTAGTGTACTCAAGGAAATAAAATTTGTGTTAACATCTTGAAACAGCTGCACACAGTATTATAAGAAAGAATGATTTAAAAAAAATCAACTCAAGATAAAAAAAAAAGATGACTGATCACAGTTGCTTGAATGGCAAGAGATGAAAAGTTACTAGAAACAGGTAAAATAATTAATTAGGCAGGAAACTCTTTCAAGGTCACACACACACACACACTCTCTCTTCAAAATGTGCATCTCAAGGCAAGAATCAGATCTGATAAAAGGTAGTCACATCTCCTATGAGAAAGTTTACTCTGAATTTAGTCTGGTGTTAATATTTTCTTAACTTGAATTTGAGTGTTCTAATGTTTCTCTTGAACAAAAACAAAAGTATAAAAACACCTCTGAAGATTCCTATACTCGACATAATGTTGAAAATACTAAACTAGAATACTGAAGCAATATGATCTTTTAAAAATCACCTTATTCACCAATTACAAGCATAGGTTGATGAGTTCTAATATATATACTCGTGTATTCACTATCATAATCAAAAACATATCCATCACTCCAGAAAGTTCCCTCATATTCCTTTGTAGTCAATGCTCCATCACTCCAGCAACCACTGATCTGCTGTATTATACAGATTGGATTTGCCATTGTTATAATTTCATATAAATGGAATCATACAATATGTACTCTTGTGTCTGGCTTCTTCCCCTCAGTATAATGTCTTGATTGCTCCATGTTGTTGCATGTATTAACATCTATTTCTTTTTATTGCCGAATAGTATTCCAATATATTTTCAAACAATAGATATGCCTCTTACATATTATGATCACCACATGATCAAACTATACACATGGAATATTTCATAATATTTCTAAAAACACATATAAGTGACACATCAAAAATAAATAAAGCAAAAAATTTCCAGATTTTGCAGATACTAAATAATCAAAGACAGTTGGTTATTTATACTGCGAATAATGTCATATTATTTAAGCATGTAATAATAGTATTAATTTTGAAATTTTTCCATTAATGTTTAGTTTTTGTTGCATCTTTGTTTTGGGGATCTCCTTAAATTAATTCACATTATACTGAGCCTCCAGGTCCTTAACAACTGTACAGAAATAAAACAGCTTAAGTAGTTAAATATTTTAACCTCTATGGGGAATAAGTATAGAAACTAACATAGAACTTGATTTCAGTCATGGGAAATGAATGGTTTAATTAATGCTCAATGAAAGCATTATAGAATTTATAAATAAAGCAGAAATCTGTTAAGTACATTATATCTAACACTGTTGAAAAACTGTATCAATTATTTATCAAACAACATTGATAAAACTGGACTTTAGGATTGAACACAGCTTTAGATATCACAGGAAAAAGAAGATTTTATTGCATGGAAGATACATGCAAAAGGAGAAGAAAAATAATCAAATTCTCAACACTAATCATGGACTTGATATAAAATGTCTGACAAGATCTGAGGGCCTACACTTTAATTAGTAAGTTTTTATTTTCCAATCAGATAGGATATGGGGTTAGTTATTTTAGAATGGGCCAAAATCTGTCTGAGTCACTCCTTATCATTTAGAAGGTAATAAGTTCTATTTCATAGTAAAGCAGATAATACAGTATAAAAATAGGAAAGTATAATTTTAAGATAAAATTGTATTACTAAAAACTGTGTGGGTCTATATTAATATAGAATTAGAAAAAGCGACTCTTACTAAATTACTGATATGTAACATAAAAAATTTGAGCATCAAGAAATTAATCAAGAAAGCCAGGATAGAACATATGTCTACATAAAACAGATAAAGCAAACTTTTATTCAAATCATAACTTTTGGAGAAAAGAAACAAGAGTGGCAATCAATTCAACTTCACAAATACCTATCGGGCACCTAAATTATCAAGTTTAATGAGTATGGGTCAAGAGAATTCATAGTTTTAAGACATGCTGACTAATAGTTGACTGTATGGTACAAATCAAAATTATAATAAATAATAACAGTGTGTTCATTTTTATTGCTATGTGACAAATTACTACAGATTTAGCTTAAGACAATATTAGGTCACAGTTTCCCTGGCTGTGGAGTCTGGGTACGGTTAACTGGGTACCCTGCTCAGGATCTCACCAGGCAGAAATCCAGAAAGTTGCATTTCTCATCTGAGGTTCAGGTCCTCTCCCAAGCTCACTGGTTTTTGGCAGAATTCATTTCCTTGGGGCTGTAATGGCTAAGATCACCATTTTTTTGCTAGTTGATGGCCAGAGATCACTGTCAACTCCTAGAGGGCACCCATATCTCCTTGCCACATGAATGTTTGCTTTTTTCCAGACCAGCAGAAGCATATCTCTGACTTTCTTCTCCCTTTCCAGCCTGCCATAAGGGAGTCTTATAAAATGTTAACATAATCGCAGGAGTAACGGTCCCATCACCATTTGCTATATAACATAATCTAATCAAGGAGCTGCTTTACCACCATATTCACAGGCTCCATCAACACTTACGAGGAGGCAATAATACAAGGTATGTACACCAGGGGTCAGAAATTTGGGGGGGCCACCTCAGAATTCAGCCTCCCACAGGTACATAAAGAATGCTACAAGAGCAAAAGAGGAAATGCAAGGTAAAGATTGGCAGAACACAGAAAGGAATAGGAAGTTACCCTAGTTAAGCTCCAGGCACTGTTCTTGAAATTTTTCTTTTTTTTTAAATGAAGAAGTAAGTCTCAGAAATGTTAAATAATTTACCTAAGGTTATATAGTCTGGTTCTATCCAAAAGTCTGAATTACCATATCTACATAAATGGTTAGCTAGGTAATTGGTTTTAATAACCAATTAATGGTTAGTTAGGTAGTTGGTTATTTAAGGTTGGAGATGAAAGTGAGAGTGAAGAGGGAGAAGGTACTATCAAAAAGAAAAAGAGAGAAACAATACAAAGACAAAGAGATTCATCAGACTACACACAGTAAGGAAACTACAGTATGGTCTTTAGTTTGACATAACTACAGCATACAATGTGTGGTAGGGAATGGATGGAGATGAGCTTGGAGAGACTGGCAGGGGCCAGATTAATATAGGTCTTCTGAAAACTTTATCTTTAATGCTATGTGGAGCTACAGAAAGATGTAAGGAAGAGATGTGACAAATTGTATTTGATTTTAAAGTGATTCCTCTGGCAGGAATGGTATATCACAGCCTTCGCATCAAACTTTTAAAGTAATTTTAACAGTGTCACATATTAGTTATCAATACAAGTTATATATCAAATACACGCAGAAAAACTAGGAATTCGTAATAGATGCTGTAGAATTCTAAGTAAAAAGTAAATGTACACCAAAAAAAAAAAAAAAGCCAATTATATAGATTTTAAAAAGCAAGGTGACACTAGAGGAAAAAATGGTAGCAGTGTAACTATATTGGTTTCAAATGCCTACCTTTACTTCACCACTTCCACCAGCACTTAGCACATTTCTCCATCCTTGTTCCCTGGCCCTATTTATTCTCTCCAACTTTTGGGGAAAAGAAACAAACAAAACACCATTTCAAGTATTTAATATGAAATACATGAAACACATTTAGTAATATAACGAACATCAGTGTCTTCCTTTAAAATAAAAGTATGTGTGTGTGGAGAGTATAGAATATACCGTAGAAAAACGGATTATCCTCTTACCCTTTCCTTTTCTTGCCTTTTCATCTGTTCAGCCTTCATTAAACTAATCTGAAACAATTTTTAAGACAAACTTCTTAGAGCTCTTGAAACTATTATCATCTATAGCTTGGTAAGAGAAGAAAATTAAGAGCAAAAAACTACCTGATCTTTTTGTTTCTTTTCTTTTTCGATAAATCCCAACCTTCTCTTTCTTGCTCCTTCCTTAAATAAAAAAGAACATTTTTATCAATAATAATTTCTACTGTTTTAGTTTCATCAGGAAAATTAGTATGCCAATTGTCGAAGTATGCCCAGGAAGGTAAAAAAAGAAAAAAAAAACAAAAAACAAAAAACAAAGAAAAAAGAAAGAAGTTTAAGGTATTTGTTTGAAAGAAATAAGGAGGAAAGGTTTGGAGGTTTTTTTTTTAATAGATTTTTTTTTTTCTTATAATTATTTTTGCAAAGCTTTAAAATAAGCAGACAGGTTTCTTTATACCTCAAACATTTTCCCCCTTTCTTCTCCAGGATTCACTTTCTTCAATGGAGTTTGATGGGCCTAGACAAAAAGTAAAACTACAAATTAGATAAAGATTTGTTATCTACATTTGTTTTCTACATAGATATACTTAAGAAGAGTAGATTTCTAGCTTTTTTAAAAAAAAAGTAACCCATAGCAAGAAATATATTTCACATCCAGACCAAGACACACACACACATATATACACACACACATGCACACTCCCTAAATTTCATAAAATACCTTTATGTGTAACATAATCTGTCACTCTACACTCTATTACTTAAAAAAAAAAAAAAAATCTCTGCTTGTCCTCCACTAAAATGATTTTGCCACCACTAATAGAAAGTAACTCCCAGTTTTAAAAGAGTCAAGAGAGAGCTTTGAGGGCACTATTACTGAAGTACATGTGAAAAACAACTAAAGATTACAAACACAAAGTTAACATTTCAAAGTATGTTCTATGTATATAGTTTTAAACTAGTGGGGAATGTTATCCAAGAACTTTGTAAAAATACATATTCCTTACACACAAAGGGATATTTCTGGCAATAAAACGGAAAACAATGATATATGCTAGAACATGGATACCTGCTACAACCTTGTAAACATTATGCTAAGAAGCCAGTCACAAAAGACCATGTATTGTATGATTCCAATTTTATGAAAAGTCCAGAATCGGTATATCTATGTAGAGACATAAGTAGATTAGTGGTTCCCTAGGGATATAGAGGTGGGTGGGTGGGGAATGGGGAATGAATGTTAACGGGAAAAGAATTTGGGGGGAGATGATGAAAATGTTCCAGAATACTAAAGACCATTTAATTCCAAACTTTAAATGGATGAATTGTATAGCATGCAAATTGTATCTCAATAAAGCTGTTTTTAAACAATATATATCCCCAAGAGTTGCTGAAACATAATTTCTGAACCTGGAGCCCTGAATTCTATTTTTTTACAAGTTCCACAGGTTAACTCTTATGTAGCAAGTACAGCACTGGTTTCAAAATTTGTGAACCAGAACACCAAACAATTTAAAAATATTAATGCGAGTAATACAGCATCTTACTATAAATGACAAGCCTTTAAATAAATTATAGAATAATTTTGAACAAGAAGAGAATGTTTTAATAAGATACCTACATACTCTTAGGTGGTAAATTACATGAAGGCATAAGTTATATTCATCTTTCTATGTCCCGTATGTCCTTACATATAAGATACTCATATATTTGGGAAATAAAAAAAAAAAACAAAAAACAAAACTGTTTCTCTGAGATCACACAGATGTTTTCAGAGCACTATTTCTATACAGAAGAGAAGAATATGGTAACATAAAACATCCATACTAAGAGAAACGTTTTTTATTTCATTTTTAAAATCAGAGCCAAAATATTGAAACATATTCATGGAGCGCCCTCTAGTGGCTTAACAACCATTCCTTTGTTTTAGCAGAAGCCTTAAAAAAAACCTGATTACAGGAAACTGGAGCAAAGACAGTTTTTACGATATGCTGAGTAATAATAACTTAATACGCATTAGCTTAAATTTTTGTGATTGAAAAATTAAAGACAATATCATTAAGCAGTATGGTTTTCCTTATAAACTTCTCATGTTTAAACCTGATAGGAAGTTAAAAATTCCAAAAAGTCGTTATGAATTTGAATCTAAGAGATGCTTTAGATTTTTTTGGGGGGGGGCGGGGAAGCATTTTCAAAAAAAATAGTCATGTAGAAACTAAAGGAAAAATTGATTTAAAAAATATTATTTAAAATAATTTAGATATTTCAATTATTTCCTTCAATTCCATTGTTAGATTTGAAAAACTTTTCAGACATTTGACTGCTGTTTCTTTTTTTTCCTATTTATCTTCTTCTTAAATATTTTTCTATTTTTTCCCATTGTGGTAAAATACTCATAAAATTTACCATTTTAACCATTTTCAAGTATACAGTTGTGTGGTATTAAATACATTCACACTGCTGTACATACAAATGTAGTTTTAAATAAAATATTTTTAAATAAGCTACATGATATTTCAAATGCTGATTATTATTTAGTTCTCATTGTTCTGGCTTAGAAAATCATATCTATTTGCCTAAAAAAGTTTAAGGGTAACAATCCTGCCTAAAATCCAGAACACATAACTATCATCTGAACCATTTATCTGTCATTCAGAACATTTGATAAAATATTATTTAGAATATTATCAATAGAATCTTAAAATTCTACGACATGCTCTTACATACTGAATTATATTAACTGAAAATGAGGGAAACATTAAGAAAACCAACAATTATTTAATTCTATCAGCCATATGAAAGAATAGATTATACACTTGGCTACAATTCTACCCAGAGGTAACGGGCCTTCTGTTATATCATTAGTTCAGTTTCACCAAGAGTTCTGACCTCTCAATTCAGTCAGGTTAAAACCTGGTTAAGAGACAAGACAATAGCATTTCTATAAGTCCACCCAAGTGTACATTCCTTATTGAACTACAGACATAAAGATACTCACCCCCCAAATGATAGTTTAATTCCCTGGTAGGATAAAGATTCTGCATGTGTATAGCCAAATGTTAGAATAGATTGTAGTTGTAATAACTACCATTTTGGAATAAACATCTCAAAAACTGCCTACAAAATATCTTTACTTTGGAGTCCATATTTCACTGAACTCCATTAGAATAAATAATACACTTCCAAAACAATTTTAATCTAGGCCATGATTAAAAAAAAAAAAAAAGACAGTTATAAGAATGTAGTCAATCTGATTTCATATCAATGAAATGTAATCACTGATAATAAATAAAAATGTACAGAAAGCATATATAACATTAAATAAAAACATCAAAATACAAAATCATCTGTACACGATCCTAGCTACATTAAAATATATATATCTGAATAAAAATTGGAAAAGCCTACAACAAAATTAAGTTAAATTAAATGCAATGTTTGAATACTGAGAGTATGTTTCTTCCCTCTTCCATTATATAAAACTGTCGACATTATATAAAACTGTCGACAATATACTAAAAGACTACGGCAAATTTGTTAAAATACATACTATACAGAAAAAAATTTCAGATCAAAGTTATAGTACTTAAATTACTTCAAAGAACTAAATAACTTAATAGAAATCAAGTTTCTATCTCAAGAATTAGACGTATATAAAGGAACAATTTCAAATGCTCTAAAGCTTTCTCTTCAAGATCTCACACTGAAGTATTAATCGTCTTTAAGCATTAGGAATAAAAGCTCAAAAGCATTGGCCTTATGACTGTGCCTGCAAGCAGGGTTTTTATTTAACCTCTAAACCTAATAACTGCTGTTAAAATATTACTTTACTGACTTGGAATTCACTTTATTTAATCATTTATTCACTCATTAAAAAATAAACTTACTAGATGCTTACTTTGTGCAAAGTGTATAAAACATGGTCCCTAACTTCAGAGAACTGACATTCTAATAAAAATAACATTAAGAAGATGAGGTGCTAAAGCAGTTTAGATATGGAAATTATTTATCTGCTTTTTGGCAGGGGGGGAGGAAAATTAGGGAAGAAACAAAAATCTTATAGAAAAAAAAAGTATTTGAGGTATTTCCTACCTCCCTTAGATCAATGGAAGACTGAAAATCAAAGCCACACTGCCAATGTAACAGTCTCCCAGGCCATAATGCCAGCGTTATATTTTTTAATCTAGAGCTAACAATGTAAGCAGTCATCACACAACTTGATCCTTTTGACTTTTTTCAGGACTTTGCCTCTTTATTTGGACTATGAGATTTGAGAACAGAAGAAATATTGTCTTTACTTTGCACTCTAAAGATTTACAGAATAATCCAATATCAATGTGACATGTACCTACAAGGAAGAGAGACAAAGAAAAAAAGAAGATTTAAAAAGAAGTGGGTACATATGAACAAAGACAAGAAAGAAAAAGTACATGCAGGACATAATCAGTAACTGGCGCTAAATCCAATTTAGCTAAGACCCAGAATTTAGGAGCATTATAGGAGAAAGGTATATTGAATGCAGGTTCGAATCCTGGAAGGTCTTCAATACACAAGCATGAGTATGACGTTTATTTGGTAGGGCAGTATTTTGCCATTTTTTTCTCAATGAACATACCTTATATGTTTTTTATGACAATAAGCCTGGCTCTAAGGATCCTTAAATTTGAAATTTTGGGTTATAACAGAAAGTTGAATGAATTATATTAATTTTTAGTATCTTTAACACTACTATCATTAATAATCTTAGCAGACTGTCTTTCTAACTAAACAAATAGTTACTAAAACTATTTTTTCCTACTATTGACCTTATGAAATAAACACATATTCCAGTGTTCTCAAGAGACTTGATTGTTATTATTTCTCTTGAGGTTTTATTTTTTAAGTTACCCGTTTGCTAAAAAAAAAAAATAATAAAATGGTTTTTGTAGAGAGTTTTACTAAAATTTTTGGTTGTTATTCATTATTTTAAAAAATTAACATTTGAGTGATTTGACAAAGTCTAAGCTACTACTCACTAATCCATTCATTAATTCATTTATTTGGTAAATATTTACTGAGTACCTACTACTTTCCAGGAACTATTTTCCAGGAACCAGTGAATGACAACAAAAATTCTTGCTCTCATGGAGCTTTTACACTGTAATGGAGGAGACTGGTAGTAAGCAAATAAATGAAAAATACACAGTTCATTAGATAGTGACAATCTGAGGGCAAGGTGGGGGGAAGCAGAATAAAGAGGATAAAGTTGTGGGGGCTATGTGGAGAGATGGTTGTTGTTTGGTATACTGGTGATCAAGGATGAAGAATCTACTCATAAACTAGGTTTCGAGCACAAACCTGAAAGAAGTAAGGAAGAAAACTACAGTTTTCTCAAGAGAAAAATCCTCCAGGAAAAGAGAATATCAAGTACAAATGTGTTTGTGCAGATAAATGCTTGGTATGTTTGAGGGCAACAAGGTTTAGCTAGCATGGCTGGACTGGGAATAGCAAGGAGGGAGAAGAAAATGAGGCTTAGAGAGGCAATAAGAGCATCAGAGGGCTTTGTGGGCCATTTTAAGGGCTTTGGCTTTTACTCTGAGTGAGATGAAAAGCCAGTGGAAAGCTTTGTGCTGGCAAGTGCAATGATCTGACCTTCATTGTAAAGGAAGCATTTAGGCTGCTCAAGTGAGAACAGACTGAGAAAAGTGAGTTTGACAGCAGTGAACTAATTCAGGAGATTATTATTATAACCCAGGTGAAAGATGAGGGTGGTAAGACTAAAGTGGTGACAAAAGTAACAAGAAATAGACTGTGAATATATTTTGAAGGCAGGGTTATTAGGATGTGATGTTGAAATGGTAGTCAATGATGACTCCAAAAGGTTCTGATGAGAACAAATGAAAGGATAAAGTTGTCATTTACAGAAATAAGAAAGATCAGTTTGGGGAGAATGTGGAATCTGGAGTTCAGTTTCATACGTTAATTCTAAGACACCTTTTAGAAATACAATTAGAGATATTAGGATGGAAATGAGTCTGGAGTTCAGAAAAGAAGTCCAGGATGGAGATACCAATTTAAGTGTCAGTTTACAGATGCTGTCAATTAAGAAAGTGAGTCTGGTACAAGAGGGAAGACATCCAAGGACTGAGATCTTAAGCACTTTAATATTTAGAGGTCAGGGACATGAAGAGAAACTTGCGAAAGAGACTGAGAAAAGCAATCGGGTAGGGGGAAAATCAGAAGAATGTAATACTTTGGATTCAAGTGAAGAAAATGTTTAAAGAAGGAAGGGGTAATCGAGTGAGTCAAAAATTGAAGTAGAGAAAGAAGACAATTGACTCCCGGATTGAACGATATGGAAGTCACTGATATCCTTGCCAAGAGCTCTTTCCTAACAGTTATAAGATAGAAGGCCCTGAGTGGAATGCGTCCAAGAGAAAATGAAGAGAGGAGCTGGAGACAGCATAGACAAGGCTTCGGAAAGTTTTGCTGTCAAAGGAAACAGAGATATATGGAAGTAGCTAGAAAGGAGAAAGGGGAAATAAGGTTTGCTTGTTTATTAAGGCTAAAGATAGAACATATATGTTTGCTAATAGGAATGACTCAGTAAAGAGGAACAATATAATAATGCAGATGAGAGCACAATGTCCTTTAAGAGGCAAAAGTAATAATAATAATATACATAAATGGCCGTGTTGACTCTATGAGAATAGATCACCTAAAGTAATAGGAAGAAAGGCAGAATATTTATAAACATATATGACTGACTAGCAGCAGTAGTAGTGTTGAGTATGTGGGAAAATTTTCTTCCAATTGCTTCTATTTTCTCAATGAAATAAGAAGCAAGGTCATTAGCCTTTAGTAAAAAACAAGGAGAAGGCAAAGATAATCATCTATAAAATGTGAGAGTAAATGGACTCAGGAAATATAACAGGGTGGCGAGAGATTCTCACTTGACATTGTTGGTGATAAATTTAAAGTGAGAACAGTTAGAACAGTCATATGTTTTTTCAATTACATTCCATGACCAGATTCAGACATAAAATGGTAGAGAGTTGGATTTCACCAAATTAAGTTTTTGCCAGGTGATTTGTAATAGTGGAAAATAGGGGCAAGAGAGTTGATGTTTTGGAAATTATTATTATGTGAGAACATGGATTTAAGCTGGAAAAGAAAAAGGAAAACTAGGAGGAGACAGGCAATGAAAAACTGGTAAGATCAATGGGTGCAAATAAGACAAAGAAGTTTTGGAGGCAAAGCCTTTGAGGAATGAGCAGGAAACAGAGGAAGTAGTGGTCAGGGAGTGGGATGGTTATAACTGAGACTACAGAATAGATGCTATTATTGATAATATCAAATTTGATAGCACAACTACAGGTGAGCATTCTAAGGTATGGTGGGAGGCAAGATCATTAAAAGAGAACAATTAAGAAAACAACAGGGCCATGTACTATTGGAAGGGTCACTGTTTTGGATACTGGACTCACCAAGAATGGCAGTTTTTAGAAGAGTGACAGTGAGTCAAGTATTAAACTCGTCAAAAAATAGGGTCTGCAGATGACCCTAACATGGAGTGGTAGCAGGTGACATAGTCTAATGACAAAAGTGTCAAAGCTTGAGGGGGTGAGTTAGGAAACAGGGAAGAGTCTGGCAATGAGAAGTAAGGAAAACATCTGCCTTATCCTACCCAAGGCTCAGCGGTATAACGGGATTAGAAAGAAAACAATCACACGTTAAGAGCTCCACAACAGTGTGTTCAGCGATAAGCCAGGTTTTAGGATTAAAAAAAGTGAGGACAATCTTTAGACGTTTAGAATACAAGGGCTTTTGTTGATAACATACTGTAAGAGGGCTTTGTGGATATATTTATCTGATTATAAATTCTTAAATACAAAATTTTCCCAGGTTTTTATCAAATGTATCAGACATTTACTTGTTTTACGCACAAAAATCATTCTGCTTAGGCTGTTAAAAAATGATTTCATTTATAGCATCACTTTCTTTTTATAGCACCAACTACTTTACTTAATGTATCTACTTAATGTTAAGGCTTCTTAGTTTTAGAAGACTGACAAAGCAGAGAACAGCAATGTTCTTCAGTAACTAAATAAAAATCATTCCATTAATATCAAATAACTAAATTGAGTTGCAATAAAATAAGATCGAAATTGAATTTGTTACTAATAACAGCTTGCATCATAACCATACCTGCTTAAGTTTTTGGAGTGGCTTCTTTTCCTGCAATTTTTTATCTCCATGTTTCTTATATGCCACAGGCACACCATATTTAGCAGCAGGCTTTGTAATTTTCTGAGCAGACACAACAGGGGCCAGGCTTTGTCCTGAAGCTGGTCTTTTAGCTGCATGAAAAGATAAAAAGAATTTCTTACAGAATTCTTTATGCTAAATCTTTAATTTCAAAATTCTTCAAGATAGCCATTTTTCATTTTCATAATCGTTGACAGCATTTAGTTTGAAACTTTTCATTCGAAATCTTATTCACTCCTTAGCACATGTCAATGCTTTCATTATAATTATTTCACACTAAAGACATTTCTTCAAAGAAGCAAAAGCCACAGTCCTATATGATGTTAAAATCTGCCATGATAAAAAAGCACTACCCTAAAACTGACTGTGTGTAATGATTGCACATATCTGTGAATATTCTTGAAAGTACTGAATGGTAGACTTTAAATGGGTGAACTGAATGGTATGTTCATTACATTTCAATAAAGCTGTTAAAAATAAATTTTAAAAAATTGTTTTAGAAATTACTTGCAAAATCAGAACATAAACTTCAAGAATAACTGTTAAACATTAATTCTATCGCTATGAGCTACTTAATATTTTCTTCATATACACTCTGAACGTCTATACCTACAGACCTATTGAAGGGCGAATATCTCAGAACAATTGTTATAGCTAAAGATCCCATGAAATAGGTACCTTTAGATACTCCTGGTGGGAATATAAACTGGTCAAACTTTCTGGAGGGCAATCTATATCAAGAACAATGTTTATGAACTGATTTTAAAGACTAATCAGAGAAACAAAAATTTATAGACAAGGATAAACCCTGCAGCATTATGTATTAAACTCTGACTGAAGCCTAGACAAGGTTCTGTGTCAGAAAAATTATAAATTCAAGAACAAACAGTTAAAGGAATTAAAAGTCTGCTATTTACACCTCTCAAAGATAATAAAGGAAGTCAAAGAGTATAGTCTATATCAATTCTTATCAAAATCCTCTTTCCTCTAACTATTCTCCACATCTCCTAAGGTGCCTCTCTGCCCAAACAGCCCCACAGTCGAAGTAAGAGCTTCTTTCTGCCTCTTCCAGCCTGCAGTCTCAGGATTTTATAAGTTAAATCAATTTAAATCCATCTCTTCCAACAAGTGTTATTTGTTTTGTTTTGATTTTTTTTAGAAGGGGAAATGAAAAAAAAATACTAACTGGTAGTTCACAATTAAATACTAACATTAAACCCAGTTCTTCAAAGAATATTTGGTTGTATTAGAAAATGATCATCATATAATACTGTGAATTAAAAGAAACAAACCTTTGCTTATAATGCAATCCCAATTTTCAATCATTGCACATGTGTTATCACAGAAAGAAAAAATAAATATAACAGTGTATGTTAAGATTAGAGGTTATTTTTTTTTCAATTCTTATAATGAACACATAGTATTCACAAATTTAGTAAACTCATATAAAAATAAAAATAATAATATCCATTTGATTGACAATTTAGAGATTCATAATTTGAAGACATGAGATATAGTATTTTGGGATAAGGTTTTCTGAACATATACTCCAACAGTATCCTGACAGGAACAAGAAAATGTGGAAAAAAAATTCTCTTTGAGAGTTAAACTATAAGATCAATCCAGAATGCAGACATACAAAGTCACAACATTGTGATCTGGCTACATGTATTAACATAACCAAAGAAACAATGTGGGCCAGAAAAGGGGCAAGAGGCACAAAAGTATACAAATGAATAGTCCAAAGAGACAGATATAAATAGTTCCCACTGACTTTCTAAAGAGAGAATTACTTATCTGATTTTGAACATTTCTCTTGCTCAGAGGCATGGCTACCAGTAGGATAAGCATAATATAGGGAGTAAGAGCCCACAAAATATTTATAGGCCAATCAGTAATACAACTCCTATTTAGGCACATGCTATTAAACATTTCATTTATTCAACTCTTCTTATAGCAAAATAACTTTCTAATTCCTAGATAGGCTTACTTGTGTGGAAAGAATGTGCTGAGATGGGGTATTTCTGGCCTTTATGACAATGAGGCTTTTAATTAAAGACTGACTGCTGGTGCTGGTGGGACTGCAAATTGGTACAGCCACTATGGAAAACAGTATGGAGGTTCCTCAAAAAACTAAGAATTGATCTACCATATGATCCAGCAATCCCTCTCCTGGGTATTTACCCTAAAGACTTGAAAACCCATATCCGAAAAGATATTTGCACACTGATGTTCACAGTGGCCAGGAAATGGAAGCAACCGAAGTGTCCTACAACAAATGACTGGCTAAAGAAGCTGTGGTACATATATACAATGCAATATCACTTAGTCCTAAGAAGAGATGAAATATTGCCTTTTGCAACAACATGGATGGACCTTGACATAATCATACTAAGCAAAATAAGGCAGACAGAAAAGGTTGAAAATCACATGACTTATATGTGGGTTATAAAGGTTGAAAATCACATCACTTATATGTGGGTTATAAACCTAAAAGCAACAAATGAAATACGTGGTGACAGAAAGAAATCTAACTATGGGACAGGAACACACAATGCAAAATATATATGCCTTACTGTTAAATTGTACACCTGAAACTTACTGGATTTCTTTAACCAATGTTACCAAAAAAGTAATATTAAATTAAAAAAAAAAAAAAAGAAGAAGAAGAAGAAATGACTTCTCATGAGCCTTGACTTTGCCAAGAGAGACATGCTGATTCCGTCATGTGTCTGTTTCTGGTGAATTTTGTTTAGAGTGAATTGATTTCCCAGGGACTGATAGTCTCTGCCCACTGAGAAGACAAGTCTAAGAATCTTTAAGAAAACCTAAGTATAGCTGGCCTTCCTGAGAATGCACTGCCACACCACTTCCAGCTTATATGGACTCAGTTTTATGATATTTTATTTTTATGTACTCAAACTCAAAATGGAGTAGAACGTGCAAAACACTATGTTAGGAAAATGATATACTTCTCAAATCTCGAATAATTTCCACTGATTTTAAAAATCCATTCTGAAATCATTCTATGTAGAAATAACATAATCTCTTTCACACAAATATATGCATATACATACATATAGTATATGGATATACATACACGATCCTATAAATATTCTATTCTTGAGGACCGCATTTAAAAGACAATTATCCTTGGTAAGATATCTAACTTCACATTAATTTATTTTTTTAAATTATACAATATAAAGTATTTCTCAAAGAAAAATATTTTACATAAAAATATACACTTAAGATATAACATTCTATGACAATGTTCTCAGAATATCACCTAAACATTTGATAAAGATAGATTTCAAGAAAGATTTCATTTAAATAAGGCAGACAAAAAAATGGAAAATTTTAATTTATCAGAACATGTTATATACTGTCATATATCATAATTTAAATGTGCATTTCTTCTAAATTAATGTTAGGTACAATTATCCCAATTTATTATGTACATATACTTCTAGTATAATAGATATTATTAGTATAATAAATAAATTGATTATGGCAAACAGGTGAAAAAACTCATTAAATTTTATTTACCTGGTATAAGTTGAGGTCCAAACTTGGAAAATGTTTTTAGACAAAATTCTTCTGCAATAAGCTTAGATTGAAAGAGGAAAAAAAAAGTTAGAAAAGATGTTAAATTTCCAATGTAAAAAACTTATCCACTAATCAGAATACATTTTTTTCCTTTTTCAGTCACAATTACGCTGCCAAATAAACTGTACTAATTAAATCCAAATAATACATTCACCAAATTCCTCTCATGCTAACTCCCTCCCAATCTTTACTAATTAAATCCAAATAATACATTCACCAAATTCCTCTCATGCTAACTCCCTCCCAATCTTACCAATTTATATTTATGACCTTCTCAAACAAGCATTCTTCTCAAATTAATCTAATGTATCACAAAGGCCCACACACACTGGTTGCCTGTTCTACCTCAGCAATTTAACACAACTGCCTCCTATCCAGAATAATCTCTATATTCCATGTGTACCCATATCCCTCATTCACTTCAAAACTGATAAAGAATCAGTTCATTAACTCTTTCTCAGATTAACTTCTCAGTTATTTCAACTTTACTCTGAATCTTTTCAGCATCTCCAATGAGCTTTCACTCTTATCATTATATAATTATAAACATATTATTGGATAAATATTTGCATATTCTTAGATAATTTAACAAGTGTCTCTTTTTACTATTACTAAAACTATATCAATTCTTCAACATTTATGAACATATTTTCAGAAGCAAGAAACAAGCACTTCATGCAAGTAATTTTTTCTCCCAACTCACTATATATTTTTTCTCTCTTTCAGTACAAAACTGTAATGTCAATGAAGATTTAACTCAATTGAAGCCTGCTTTCTTTCATACTGGGTGGGGAAGGCGAGAGAATTTTTCCACAGGGGAGAGAATATTTCCACAGTGACAGTGGACCAGAAGCTCCAACAGGCAAAAAAAAAAAAAAAAACCCCACACAAAAACAAACAAACAAAAAAATACATATGACGGAGTTGGTCATCTTTTCCATCAAGAAGCCCTTTACATCAGTTCTCAAAGTCGCATTTAAGAAGAATCAGCATCACCAGAAAAGTATTAAATATACAAATTCTCAGGCTCCACCTCAGAATTACTAAAATAGAAATTGTAGTGGTGGTAACCAGCAGTACCCTTCAAGTGAGTTTTATGTATGTTAAAGTTTAAGAACCACTGAACCATAAGATAAATGTAAGTGAAAGTCTAGTTCACAGGCAATTCAGAGCAACTGTGTCAAAGCGTTTTCTCTTCTGAACATCTGCATTTCTCCCCTTTCTTTTTCATGGAAGAAAATGAGTGTTTTATGATCTCCAGCTTGCTCCATATTGGGTAATTTCTTCCATTGTTTGAATGTGAGTCTTACTTTTCCCCTGTGTGAATGCAAATATGAATTGAGAGGTATAGAATCCAAGAAGATTCTGGAATCCCTATGCCACCCATATGTAGCTATTTGAATTAAAAATTTAAATAATATAATTTAAACTGCAGCTCTTTAGTCACACCAGCTACATTTTAAGTGCTCAATAACCACATGTAGTTAGTGGCTACAATTTGGGCCACGTAGATATAAAACACTTCATCATCACACAAAGTCCTATTGGACAGCACCTATATTCCTAATGAATCAGAGCTTATTCGTGATTTGTCAAGCCACATACAGGGAGAAGTTTCCAGAGGGTGCAAGATTGAGAACTAAGCCCTATTAACCTTGGCTGACAGCATTGAGGATTAGTGAAATAAAAATTATAGTGACACTAAAAATAATAGGTCAGATATTGAAATAAAACTCACAAATTGTTTCAAAGTTAAAGCTTTAAAAAATATATCACAAACTTTCTCATTAGAATACTGAATAAGTGATAACACAGTCATGCGCCACATTACAACACTTCCGTTTCAGCCAACTACAGATCACACATATGACAGTGATTTAGCATACATACTAGGTGAGTAGTAGACTATACCATCTAGGTTTGTGGAAGTGTACTCTACAATGTTCGCAATATGATGAAATTGCCTAACAGTGAATTTCTTAGAGCATACTCCCACTGTTAAGTGGTGCATGACTATGTAGCAGAACATAAATCTTAAGAACAAAAGATAAAGGTTTTTGTGAAGGAAATCTAAGTGGTGCCAAAATAGCAACAAGGGGCTATGTATGTACTAAACATGTAATGATGAATACCCCATTTGTTAATAATTGTAGTCTTTTTTCTTTCCATAAGCTCTGCATATATCAGGCTTGACAATTTTCTACCATGGCTGGCTAATCGAATTCCAGTGCTTCAGCCTTGAGACGATGGTATGCCCTAACTGCTGCTCTAGGGCTAAAGGAATCTCAGCAAAATTAAGTCATTCTTTCTCCTTTAGTACTTGCCAAAAAACAATAATATATTGTATCATAAAACTGTCTTTGAAAATGTTATTTATAACAAAGGAATCTTATAAATAAGACACCAGCATTTCAGAAATTGTTGCTATGTCTTATACGAGTAAATTTTAACCCTTGACTTTTAATTGACTTCCTTGCTTATTAATGTGTTCTCCTGGTAGTAATAGTTAAATACTCATTTCTGTTTTCTGAAGACTACTTGTTCACATAGATGTTCTGTTAAGCCAGAAGGTATATGACACTCCCCTCTCCTCTCACAAGCATATAAAAGTAATAAAACTATGGTTTTGCTAGATGTATGATTGCAAGAAGAGTCTAACAGTGATTACTTAAACTAACAAAGACTACGCAAAACATATAATGGAAAATAATTCCAGTTTCAGGTGTTCATATAGTTTATGCTAATTGATTTGATACAGATTTTTTATAAGTTCTGTCAAATTAAAATTCATTCGCCTTAACATTTATTATGCATCTATATGCAAGTACGACAGGAAAAATAATGAGTCAACAATTATATATATAAATCCCCATAGAACAATGGTTTCTAATCATTTTCTATAAAACAGAATATAATTAAAGATATAAAATTATAATATATTTATATTAAAGTAACATATTGATAATATTCTATATATTGAATATACTGAACACATTATGTGCTAGCCATGAAGCACTTTACATGCATTATTACTTTTAATTCTCATAACAGCTTCATGATGGAGTTATGTTTATAATCCCATTGTTCACAGGTGAGGGAAGTAGGGCACAGAAAGGTTTAAAAATTTTACAGTTAGAAACCTAAGAAGGTAGAAAGGTGATTGCCAGTATGTGTGGGAGGATGGATAGTTATTAGTTAACTGGTATACAGTCTGCTCTACAAGATCAAGAGTTATAAGGATGGATGGTGATGATGTTTGTACAGCATGATGAACATATTTAATATCACCGAACTATATACTTAAACATAGTTCAGATAATAAGTTTTATGTTATATATATTTTATAATAAAAAAATTAGAAAAAAGAAACCCAAGAGACAGAGGAATGATTCTGTGTTATTGTGACTTATAATAAGAAATATATATTTGATCTTCGTCAAATTCCTGACATATAGTTTCTAAAACATACCTGAATTTATATTAATAAAGTGACTCTGGAATGCCCCTAAGGATGGAGGCTCATTGCCAGAGAAAGTAACAAGGTGATTAGAGGGCTAGAACTTTTAGTCCCACTCCCTTCCCCTCCAGGAGAGGAAAGGGGCTGGAGGTCAAATCAACCACTAAGGGCCATTAATTTAATTAATTATGCCTCCATAAAAAACCCAAAGGAATGGGTTTGGAGAGCTTCTAGGTCAGTAAACATGACAGGAGGGTGGTGCACCCCAATTCCACAGAGACAGAAGCTCCTGCACTTGGGACCCTTCTGAACTTTGCCCTATGTACCTCTTCATCTTCATCTGTATCCTTTATAACATCCTTACCTAAACTGGTAAATATAAGTAAATGTTTCTATGAATTCTGTGAGTTGCTCTAGCAAATTAAATGAACTCGAGGAGGGAGTTGTAGGAAACTTTGATTTAAAGCTGGTCGGTCTAAAGCAAAAGTGACAACCTGGAATGTCGATGGCTTCTGGAGTGGAGGCAGTCTTGTGGGACTGAGGGATTTGATGCTATCTCCAGGTATAGTGTCAGAACTGAATTGAGTTGTAGGACACCCAGCTGGTGTCACAGAATTGCCTGTGTGGGAAAAAGCCACCATACATTTGGTGATCAGAAGTAACAAAAGTTAAGAATTAACTGTTAAGAAGAGACACGGTTGTAATGTTTTCCCTCCAACAGATTCACAACTAGAAAGCAAAAAGGAAGGGGAAGAGTTATACAAGAATGGAAAGAAAGGTGACTCTGAAGTAATTTGAAAAGAGCACTTCATTCCTCAAAGTTCTGAAGAGCTTTCCTCAAAACAGGAGTGATATCCTAGTTAAGCACCATAACTCTACTGTTCAATTTTAATTCTAAAGTATAAAAACATACCTGAGGTGAGAGAAACTTTTCAATGCGTTTGGCTATAAAACCTTTCTCCAATATGGAGTTGACGGATGGTCTATCCCTAGGATTTCTTTTAAATAACTGAGAGAGCAAACTGCGGAGATCATAAGAATAATGCAAAGACACAGGTGGAAAAGACCCAGATATTATCTTCAGTACCAGGTTTTTCATATTGCCAGCTTCAAACTAAAATCCAGAAAATAAATTAACATATAAATTAACAAACATAAATTGAAAATGGGAATATCGACAATGAGCAATAGTTCTTTTATCAATATAGAACAGAAATACAATCCTCTTCCAAATATTTTAATCAGCATATGTTCTCAAGAGAAAGGCTCACTTGAACATATTTAAAACACAGTATCAGTCCTCATTAATGTTATAACTTGCTATAAAATTTTTACGTATTCAGAATATTAAAAGATGGGATATAGGTATTAATTAAAGATTTTATAAAAACATGACAATAATAAGATGGTAAAACAAACAAACTTGGTGGCCTTTATTTAAGACCTGCTTTCTTGTGCCCTGTTGTATAACTAGAACAAGGAATTAACTACAGAACTAAAGTATTTTGGGGAAAATATAATAAATAAAAGTGCTAATTACTTTCCTAAAAAACACTGCTGCTTATTATTATTGTTATTATTATTAAGTGTGTGATGCTCCCAAAAGCCATGGAATGAACTACGTGGCAAGTAGTCCAAAGGAGAATATATAAATGGGAATACTGTATATTTTAGAATTAAACACACTATAAACTCTAACTGAAGTAAAAACAACGACAACAAAAAACGTGGGGCGGTTTAAAATCAGAATATTTCAATTTGAAAATAAGTAAAATTAAGCTTTGACATCTCAGCTAAAACAGTATAGAACAGTTGTACATTGTCAACATGTTCATAATACACAGAATAAGTCCTGGTATAATTAGGCATTGGTGATTATTCCAATTATAAAAGAGTTCTGTTCAATGTTGAATTCTCCTAGCACATTTAAAATATGTCACTCAAGTTATTAAATCTGAATTCAAGTCAACTGCTACAGAAACAGCTACGTACTTAAGAAAGAATCTTAAACGAAGAAAGATATGTTACTCTAGTCCTTCAATATAAAGAATTTTCATTTATTTGTCAACTGGCAAACTCTTCATAAGCAAAGGTTAGTGAATTACTTAACTTCTCATGTCCACTTAAGAGTAAACATTTACAAAATACAGAAGCAACAATGACAGTTAAAAGTAAATGAAAACATTTTAAAAAAAATACACTAATTTAGACCTAAGATGACTGTGTCACAGAAAAACTGACCAATTCCCTCAAATACAGATGTTATAACTACCATCCCATGTCAATTTGGCAGTCTATATATTTTTCCTTAAGAAGAAAAAAATCTAAAGCAATACAGTAGGAGAGTATACAAACATGAAAAAAACACAACGAAGGAAAATACTCCCCAAACAATATCAGGCAATAAGAAACCAACCATAAAACTGCTTATAAAATATAATTAAACTTTTGAGGAAAACAAAAAAACAAAACTCGTTTTATAAATTATTCTAGAAGAAATCCTAGAAGATGACAAAATATTACAAGTAGTAATTACTGGTTGAAAGAATTACTCGATATTTATTCACTTCTTTATATTTTTGTGTTATATTTTCTGTAATGAAAATACTGTTGTTTAATCAATGGGGGGGGCGGATTTTTAAAATGCCAATTCCAAATTCCAAAATGGAAAATGATTAAAATTCAACCTATTTAGAACAAGAACTGCCCCTTTTTGGTGTATATGCCATCTCAAAAGAGTTTCAAAAGTGAAAATTAAAACTGAAGAGCATTTAAACTGATAAAATCCCTTGATAAATATGTTGAAAAATGTTCCTTAGATAATCTCAATTCCAAACTCAAATAATTTGGGTGCTTTTAGAAAAATTGCTAAAATGAAACTAATAAAATTTAGTAAGCTAGAATATCAAATTAATATATGAACTTAACATTTAAAAGATAGCAAATTTATTTCTGTCTTTAGAAATAATTTTCTAGAAAAAGTATATGTGTATTATAACAAACATATAAGATGCATATGTAATATATGCATATATATTAAGGGAAAGTCGATTTAAATTTATACTTCTTACAAGAAATTTAAAATTGACATAAGAATTTCTACTACAAGAGGACTGTCTGAAAGGTGACATGTCTTTTTTAAAAAAAGAAATATTATAATCACTTTTGACATAATTTTAAAAACACTTCAGAAATGTCTACTTACTGCATGTTTAAGTGTGCACATCTCATAAAGGACACATCCAAGAGCCCAAATGTCACTAGAAAAGAGAAAAAATTTTTTGTAAGTATCAGATTTCACTTGAAATTTTTTCATTTAAAGGAAACAATACCTGCATGAAAATGCTTTGCAAAAATATGTGATCCACAAAACATGTCCTTTAAAACTTAAAATGTCATAACCAAATGACAAAAACAGCTATCTCAGATTAGAAAAGTAATGGTTGCTCTAATATTTTAAAGTTTCATTAAGGAAATTTAATATTTTAAAAAACAGAATCAGCAAATTTCATAGATATGCTGTTGTCTCACAAAACTCAAACTACTTTATTCAATTATTTGCAAAATGCCATAATTTTTAACAAAGAAAAATACTACATTAAAAGACAAATACTATTTTAAAAGAAAAATACTACTTTAAAAACATGAAAATATTGATTTACTAAAGTTTTGTCTCAAATAAACCTGTAATAGCCAATTGAAATATTAGGTAAGAATATTTATTCTAATTTAAAGACTTAGTTACACTACCTCCTTTGTATATGATCTCGTCTATCTTAAAATAAACAGATATTTTTATAATAAGAAAAACTACCTCTATTTTTAAAAAGGAAAAAGGAACTCATAGTTCAGAGTGATAGTGGTCCTTAGAAGTCAACAAAAGTATAAACCACTGCTCCTGAAAGCTGAACTTATTAGAAAAGAAGAAAATCCATTATTGAAATCTTGGGATTATCCATGTTGTTTCAGATGGCAAGATTTCATTCTTTTTTATGGCTCAGTAATATTCTATTATATGTAATGAAATCATTAATTTCAAGATTCAGCTGGGAAAAAATAAAAATGTAACTGAACTATTTAGTAACTTGTACATATTACAAATTAAACAGTATGAACAAAAACATTAAGCTAATGATGCTATTAATAAAATACTTTAAAATACATTTTAAAACAGGCAGAGAATCTAAGAAACAAAGGGACTTATCTGAGTGCCAAAGTTAGTGAAGGACCATAGCAAGAATCCAATATATATATATTGGATATATATATATACACACACACATACACACACACACCACATCTTCTTCATCCATTCATCTACTGATGGACACTAAGTTGCTTCCATATCTTAGCTATTGTAAATAATGCTACAATTAACACAGGGATGCATATGTCTTTTCAAATCAGAGTTTTGGGTTTCTTTGGACCTAAAGAAGATTATTCTAAGTGAAGTAAGTCAGAAAGAGAAAGACAAATACCATATAATTTCACTTATATGTGGAATCTAAAAAAAAAAAAAAAAGAAAAGAAAAAAACAAGACAAACAAGTTCATAGATAAAAGAACATGTTGATGGTTGCCAGAAAGGTGGTGGGGTTCAGCTGGAGAGATGAGTGAAAGGGGAAGGGATTAAGAAGTACAAACTGGTAGTTAAAAACAGCCATTGGGATGTAAAGTATAGAATAGGGACTATAGACAATATTGTAATAACTATGTATAGTATCAGATGGGTACTAGAGTTACTGGGGTGATCGCTTCATAAGTAATATAAATGTCTAATCATATGTTGTACATATGAAACTAACATTGTATATTAACTATAATTGAAAAATAAAAAAATGATTAAAAAAAAATCCTAAGGTTATCTTAACCTTACCAAACTCTAACAAATATCTACAAATATAAACTTGTAACTCCAAAAATCTATTTGATTTTAAGATTCAGCTGGGAAAAGAATGTAAATATAATTAAGCTTTCTAGTAACTTGGACGTGTTACAAATTAAACAGTACGAACAAAAACATTAAGCTAATGATCCTATTAATAAAATACTTTAAAATACATTTTAAAAAATATGTATTTCAAAGTATAATTGATGCTGGTCTGTTACATTTCAAAAGTGTTTTTCCCACAAAAATTGTATATAAAATTCTTTAAAGGATGATTAAATCCATTCCTAAAGATTGATGTATTTTACAGTTGACTTATTGACAAGAAACAGAAGTAACATTAATAAAAATTTAAAGATACATTGTTAGGATAATCAGTTTCTATTGCTCAAGTATAAAATACAGTTTCCTCCTAATCTTCAAAAAAAAGGGGGTGTGAGGGTGGGGAAGGGACGGATAACAATCATGAGTACATTCATTACTGCCAATTACCACTGTCTTCCTTTTAGCTTCTATGAGTGCTTTCAAAATTAAGTCCATAGTTTTCTGGTTGGGACTTTTCTATTAGAAAGAGTGAGAGAAAATAAAAGATAATCGGAATCCAGTGGCAGAATTCCTCTTCCCACCTATATATACAATCTGGTAACCACAGTATAGCTCAGTAATTAGAAATTTGGAGTTGGAAGCCAAATGCCTGGGACTTTGAAGATAGTTTACCTTTCTCTGCATTTGATTTCCTTGTAAGGAAAGGAGGAACAATTGTTCACGGTTAATACATAAAACTCACAAGGTCATTGTAAAGATTAAGTGTTAATACACAGAAAGCATACAAAACAGTGCCAGGAACAAAAAAAAAATGTTAAAAAAATAAGTATTATAATTCAGTAGGAAGTTTCAAAGAGAATAACAGAAGAAAGCAGTCTATTTCCAAATATAATTTAAACAATAAAGTGATTCTATAATTTCTTTAGCAAGATAGTAAAATAGCCTCTTTACAATTCCTCCTATCATATACTGAAGTGTGTGTGTGTGTATGTATTTATATACATATGTTTACATCTGCATATTATTGATTTTAGAATAATATTCTGAAGGCTAATAAATATAATAGAAAGATTTAAAGAAAATATATATATAATGAATATCATTTTAAAAACCTTTTATTGTTGTAAGGTTTGTTTTCACAGATTTCAGGTGACAAGTAGTATGGGGTCCCTATGCAGGTTCGAGCAAGTTCTACGGTACTGGAAGAAAAAGAATTATTGGAGAAGTTTAAAATACTTAAAGATATAAATTACCACATATACATCATCATGAATTAAAATTTCACTAAAGATATATCAAAATAAAGTTTACAATGGATATATTACCTATTAAGAACTCTAGCAATTCCAAAATCTCCAAGTTGTATTGTCCCATCTTTGGTTAAAAATATGTTCTGTGAGAGAGGGAAAAAAAAAAACAAAAACGGAATTATTATTACAGTTCAGTTCTGAGTCAGCAACTTTTTTCATAAAAAATGAATCGGTTGAAAAAAAATAACTGGATAACTGAGATAACTGGATATCCACATGCAAAAGAATGAATGTAAACTCCTATCTCATACCGTACATAAAAATAAACTCAAAATGGTTCCTACACCTAAATATAAGAACTAAAACTATAAAATTCCTAGTGGAAAATATAGAAGTAAATCTTCACACCTTTGGGTTAGGCAAAGATTTCTTAGATATGACACCAAAAGCACAAGCAAAAAAAAAAAAAAAAAAAATGGATTTCATCAAAATTAGAAACTAATGTGCATCAAAGGACACCATCCAGAAAGTGAATAGACAGCCCACAGAGTTGGAGGAAATATTTGCAAATCATATATCTGACAAGGAATTTGTATCCAGAGTAAATAACACTTACGACTCAACAACAATAAAAAACAACTCAATTTTAAAACAGGCAAAGGCACATATTAGATGATTCTATTTATATAACATGTCTGGAATAGGCAACATAAAGACAGAAAGTATTTTAGAAGTTTCCAAAATATAAGTGGAGGGGGAATGTGGAGTGACTACTAATAGGTACAGAGTTTCTTTCTGGAGTGATAAAAAATGTTCTGAAATTTGAGAGTGATGATGGTTTCACAACTTAGTGAATATAATAAAAATTACTGAACTTTAAATGGATGCATTTTATGGTTTGTGAAATATATCTCAATAAAGCTTTTAAAAAATGAATCTAGACCTCCTCTTCCATCCAAAAAAAAAACGGCCTAAAAATTCTAATTAGCCTAAATGTAACAAGTTAATATTAAAATTTTCCAATAATGGTGGGGATGAGTTGAGGGGCAGGCAAAATAGGTGAAAGAGAATTAAGAGGTACAAACTTACAGTTATAAAATCAGTAAGTCAAAGAGATGTACTGCACAGCATAGAGGACATAGTAGTATGTAATAACTTTGTAGTGATAGATGGTAACTAGATTTATTGTGACCATTTCATAATGTATATATCAAATCACTATGCTGTACACCTGAAACTAAAATGAAACTGTATGCCAATTATACTTCAATAAAAAAAAAGTAGAGATCCCTGAAAACCATCCAAAAAATAAAAAATAAATAAAACAGCATGATGAAGATTTATTTATTTTAAAATTTCCAATAATTTATGCAATTATTTTGCATTTATAAATACACGACTCCAATACTCTATGAATAAACAGTGAAGCCGGGAGTTTGTGGAATAACATGAATTAAACCCCATATCAGCCAGGAGACTTGAATTAGGCACATGCTCACAATCAAAGATGACACAAGGTGGGGTTGACAGGGATAGAGTGAAATGGGGTGAAATGGATTAGCTGGAAGCGGGTTGAGGGACAGTTCCTCTTCTTCTTATATAGACTATTAGGCTATATAAGAAGTTTCAGGCCTGATGTAAGAGATAGACCCTTGGCCATGACACAAGGAAATGAACTTCCTTGGAACTCCCCACTCTGGGAACTGAGAGAGCATAAGTGAAACATGAAACCTCTATGAAACCTCTATGCAAAGATGAGTGAATTATAGAGAAAAAACGTACATATGAATAAATATAATGCAAAGAAAAGCAGCCAAAATATCATCAAAACAAAAATTCACTCCAGATAGAATTTTATAAATCAGTCCAACAAAAACTTGAAAGTAAAGATGTTTAGAAAATGCAAAAAGGTAAATGAAGGAACAGATATCCATTTAAAAAGAACAAGACATTATGAAATAAGAACCAATCAGAAACAAGAATAGATGTGAAAATCCATAAAAGTCTTAAAGAGAAAAAATCATTAAACAAAAACTAGATGAGATAAGCCCTAGTTTGTACAAAATTAAAAAGAGATTTAGTTAACTGGAAGGTAGGTCGAGGAATTCACCTAGAATGTAGAGACGAAGAGATAAAATATGAAAAAAATAAGATACTTGAAAGGATAGATTAAGCACCTCCATCATACGTCCAGAAAAAAATCTAAAAGACAACCATGAAGATAATGATAGAGAAATAATATTTTAAAAAATATAGCTAAACATTGTCCAAAACATTCCTGAGGAAATATACATTCTCAGATCAAACGTATACAACATAATGAATAAAAACTGAACCTCACCAATGCATGACACTAAAATTTCAGAACAATGAGATCACAGAAAAGATCCTAAAATCTTCCAGAGTGAAGAAACAAGGATAAGAAATCATAATGGCTTTAAATTCCTAAACAGCGACACTAGAAGCCAAAGGACAGATGAACCCTATATTCTAGA